TGTGTGTGTGTGTGTGTGTGTGTGTGTGTGTGTGTGTGTGTGTGCGTGCGTGCGTGTGTGTGTGTGTGTGTCTGTAGACCACTTGCTGAATGGACAGAATGTGTCTGACTTCATGATGGGCTATCTGCTCAACTGAACACTGTGTGTGAGTGCGTGTGTGTGTGTGAGATTTGACAAGTGATGTCATTGCTCATTCGCATGTATGTGCACACAAGCACACTAGCACACAGCATTTAGAGTTAATGATATGAGTACAACCCACAGTTTTATTAAGGAGATGCTCAATACTTATTACACATACATCACTTCTAGCCACAGTAATGTCGGTCTATTGGTCAGACCGCCACGTTGGTTCAAACTAAAATATCTCAACAAATGTTAGATTGACTGCCATGAAATTTTGTACAGACATTGATGATCCCCAGCGGAATAAGAAAATAGTTCGACATAGGGATCTACCTTATTTGCTTACTGGTGAAGTCTTAGATGGGAACGCTGATACAAATCTAATATGTGTCCATTAAATATATCGCAAAAAGGTTGAAAACATAGGAACTATTTTTGAGCACTTTCCAACCAACGGAGACTGAAGAAGGCTGTTGCTCCCAAGAAGTAGTTCAACACACAGCTTCCTGGAGACACAATTTAAAAAAACAACATATAATGGACTAAATATTGAGCTGTAGAAATGCTGGTAAGATGATTTTATTTCCTTTGGACAGAGCCAGGCTAACTGTTTCCCCTGTTCCCAGTCTTTTGTGCTTTGTATCATATATGAGGGTGGTATTGATCTTCTGTGTGGAACTTTTGTTTCGTTTTAGTTTCTCTATATTCCATTGTCAACACCAATGTCCTCCCTGCAGTGTTTTCATATGTTTACACCTCACTAATCAGGTTCGGCACTTTTCAAACACAGGTTAGTTCTGGTGGAAAATCTAGTTTCTTTTCAACCACAGTCTTGTTTTCATCAGTTTGGATGTCCATTTATTTATTTTCTTCAGTTCTACAAATATGCAGTACATAGGTTATCTAATATATATGTTCTGCATACACATGGGCATTAACTGCCACTATACGAGTTAAATAAAGTCAGTGAAATATTTAGGGGTTTTTTTAGATTCAATATTACACACTCTCTCTCTCTCTTTTTCTATTCAAAGAGCCAATATGACCTTTTTAGCACTTCCATTAAAGGGTGTGGAGAGGTAGAGGAGGAATACCAGAGAAAGAGGAAGGATATTATAGCTATTTCAAAAACCACTCCTACAAACTACAGCCTCCAGCTGTGCTGTCGCTTTTGTCTGCTTAGACATTCACGTAGCCTCGAGGAGTGAATTACACACCTAATGACGCCCTTATCTTTGCTCTCTGTCTCTCTCTTTCTGTCCTGCACCCCTTGCTCACTCTGTTCATGTCTTTGTACGTGTCTCGCCGTCTGTCCCTATCTCTCTTTTGATGTCTAGTTTAGACGTTCTCTCCCTGCTGTCATAACTGCCTCATCTGTAACTACAATTAAGGACAAGCTCATGCAGCCATGATATATCAGACATGTTTTATGGAAACTTGTCAATGTAATTTGAACTAATATTTACTACCTGTGTTCTTAATTCCATTTCTAATCTTGAACATTATCTCTACCCATGTATCAGTGCCCAGAAACACTGTGCTCTAACAACCTACTACGAATGTGAAAACTTGTTCATGGCTCGTGTGAATACGTTTGCCAGTTAGTGATGGCTGGGCTGACACAAAGAAAATATCACATTACACACTCTTGACAGGGCAAACAGCTCGGGGGGAGAGGGCACTTAACACACACAGACACACACTTACACATTCACACAGGCGATTTAATACGCTATACACAAAGGGAGAGAAATGTTTATGAAGGAACATACTGACAAAGACATTTCAGAAATCTGCTCATGCTTTTATTGGCTCAAGGGATGTTTTAGTCACACACATAATGCACAGATGTTCCTGAACAGACACACACACACACACAAACACACACACACACACACACACACACACACACACACACACACACACACACACACACACACACACACACACAAACACACACACACACACAGGTGCATCTACCACTTCTCTTTGTTCTCTGATTGCAAAGCCAGAAAATTGATACTCTTCCGACCAATCACCATTTTCTAAAATGCCAATAAGCCAATAAAAGAGCTTGTTCACAAAGTTTAAATGTGTTTGAATAGAAACAACTGTGGACTACCAAGACCCACATAAAATGATATGCAATACACACACACACGCACACACACGCACACACACACACAAATAAAATGAATGAAAAAAAGAAAAAGTCAGAAAAGTGGAGAGAGATGCCACAAATTTAACACATTGAAGATGTTGTGTGCATTTCTTTAATTAAAGAATCATTCTTAACCTGTTACCTCATCTAATTAAGTAAAATGTTTACGCAGCAGTAACTCATGCCAACTGTATTGCTGATACTTCCTGAGGATATTACTAGCCTTTGCTCTTTACAGTTAATGTTCTCTGAGATCCCCCTAAATTGCTGAATTCCTCACTTTTCTAAATGTTAGAAATAAAATTTCTAAGATCATTAATATTTCCATGAATTTTAATGACATATTAATGATGTTAAAATGCCAAATAGAGCAGCTTTAAAATGTTATATATTCAGTTCAGCAACTTTAATTTAAATTTCTATAAAACTTGAATGTGTATTATACAACCCCCCTTCTCCCTGATTCTTTCCTTACCCGTGTGTGTATGTGACTGGAACTTTTCCAGGCATGACTGAATCAACAGCACCCCCCAGTGGGAACTCAGTCATCCGGCAGAGATCCAGCTGAAGTGCGATCCGACTTGTTTTCGGAGTCCAACAACCCATAACCAGGTTTGAAGCACACAACGGACAGCCATTACTGTTCTGGCGGTGGGCCTGAACGGCGTTTGTTAATTTCCTGCTATTTTCCCCATGCCAGCCCTTCCCTTAGATGCAGGATGGAATCTGATTACATAACATGCTGATTTATTAAAAGACTGCTCACATTCTCATGGACACAGAGTAAACCGGCACGAAGTCCACAAGCAGCAGCAAAAATCCATAAACTGCGGTGGTAAGTGAAGTCCAACAGCAGCTGTGCACGAAGTTCAAGTTACTAATAAATAATAATCACAACATTCATAAACATACAGTTCATTCATTTGAAAACAATTTTGACTAGATGAAAGGCTTAAATGTCACATATGTTACTCCTGGGCCCACGGTCTGAATTATCTGTCCCAAAGCTAGACATCAGAGGGACACTGACTTTGTGAAGAATCAACAGATGTGTATTCCAGTAAAATATTGATTAAATGTCAGAAGTGACAAGTGAAAATGTGGAATCCAGGAATTGCATTACTCTTTTGAATTGAGTCAGGCTACTGAAGTTACGTAGCTGAAATTACTTTGAGCCACTAAGTTCCCTCACCAACCCCATAATCTATAGTAGCTGTGTAGTGTACCCACTAACAGATCTCATCCACGTTTTTAATTGGATATAAAGTTTAAGACTTGAAACACTCATTTTGATGATAGCAATGTAATTTTTCACACGTGTTCTAGGATTACACTGGACTTGACTTGATGAATATGAGCAGAGCAGCAGAAGCAGTCAGCAGGACGTTTCCAGGGATGGATGAGTGATGCTGAGAGAGTAAAAGAAGAAAAGAGGAGGAAATGTGAACAGAGTGATCAAGTGTAGATCAAATAAAATACTGTATGATAATATTACAGTACATGTCCATGTTGTTTATCCTATGATGCTATTCTTTAAAGAAATTTGATATCATTAGAGTAAATGTTCTTCTTTCAGCCTAATATTCAATTCAGAGTTGTTAAGACATTTACTTGGCGTTGTTGTGGATCCATGTCTGTTCATTTAGAGCAGCACATATTATTATGGTCTGGATTTAAATGTAGATTTTTCATCTTAACATTAATTCTGTGAACTCTACTCCAGCATAGTGTAACAAAAATAGCAAATTCATTCCCCACCTATGTCATCAGACAACTTATGCCTCTTTTTGTGTGGCAGTAGTGAAAATGAGTCATTGTCAAAAGTGTTGTGGTTTCAGAATGATGGAGACAGAGAACAGTTAAATTCAAAATATGATACAGGCTTGGGATGATTTTTTTTTCCTGGGCAACTATCATGTTTTTCCCACATGATGTACAAATGGATTGATACAGTAAACAGTGCATGTAGCTGCCATGAATGGGGGGAAAAATTCCCTGGGGGAGCATGTCCCCTGAATACAGACCTAAGTTTGGGCTAAGCCCCCGTATGTTTACAATGTCTGGCTCCGCCCCTGTTTCAGCTTGTTTTACAACAGACATTGGTAACTAGCAGTGTAAAGTTTCATCATGTATCTGCGAGGATTTTTAGGTGGAAAGCCCCTTAGAAAAGATGAAAGATATGGTGGATACAGCCCCACAGACTCGAACAGCAGCAGGGATTACTCTGTTCAATCCATATATAACAACGCCTTTAAAGCTGTATTCCCATGCCATTGTCCAAGTCGTGCTTACAATGTGTCAGTGAGCATTGTGTGAGCAGGACTCAGTCTTTTTAAATATACATGAATTGACCCGATTGTCATAACATGCCCTTTTCCTAAAAAATATTAAAAGAAAATAAAAGTAAGGTCAGTCCGTTCTCTGTTTGTTTTGTTTTTTTTTCGTATTTATGAATAGCTTATTTGAATATTTCTATAGTCTATATCATGGGTTCGTTTCGTGTATACTTTGATATACTTGGAAAATTTCAGAAGCGGACTGAAAAGACTAGAATTAACTGAATAAAGCACCAAAAACCAGTTTAGTTCGGCTGAATCATAAATGTAATGAATCGTATGAGCCTGACGTGTTTACTCTTTAATACATGTTATGTCACACAGTCCAATGTCTCAAACAGCTGCGTTGTTGCCAGAGAAGGAGGTTTACAAACGACGCCACTGAAGTTTGCTGTTGTGCGTATCCGGAACCATTAACGAGGGAAGACTTTCATTGACGGACGCTTGTGTGAAGATGTCGGACGTACCAGATAATGCTCCTGAACGTAAGATTTTAAAAGTTAAATTTATGTGGATTGTATCTACAAGACCATAGACCTATTGGTTCGCGATTTGGCGTTTTGTAATAATGTCTCACTGGTTGTGGTGTGTTTTAAACTAACGTCTGTTTTACTGTTGACAAGACTACACTTAAAATATTCCTGTTATTTTCCAGGGTTTTTACATCCAGGCAGGTTCATCAGTTATAATATCGCCACCTGGACGTGCAGGACATTTTAGTCAGAGCGAATAACAAATTGCTTCGTCAATTGTGAAGTTCAGTGACGCAGTTATTAAAATGTTAGTTAGATAGTTAGATTAAATTAGATAAACATCAGCGGATTAATGCCAAAACAGAAATTTGTCTGGACAAGATCTAGTAAATACAGACGGTCAGTTAAACAGTATTGAATGAGTTTGTAATGATGCGCCACAGTGCTGCCTGAAATTGTGCTGATTCACTGTGACACAGTTTTCAGGCTCCAGAAGCACAATGAAAAAGGACCACCTGGTGTTTCTCGATAGAATACCACTTTTAATCATATTAATCTGCAGTATGGAATTGTATTATAAAAGCAGCTTCCCCTTTTAATTGGCTTTGTTAAAATTATCATATTCCTCTCTAATCTGAAGCTGTGGGATATATGCACAGGGTGAAATATCCAAACCCGAAACCTCATGATTTTGATGGCCACACCAGTCCATCAAATGGAAATATTCCAGATGTTTTCTGCGAGATTTTTTACACATTTCCTCAAGATTCTGTTTGGCGCGTTTAGTGTGTTTGGAAACTAAAATATATCCTCTAGAATCGAAAAGAAAGTCATGTGAGTTTTTCTACACAGCTGGATTTTGAAATGACATGCCAGTTTCCAGTTGGGTTAATGAGGTTAAAGAAAAGAAGCTCAACTGTAGAATTGGGTTTTAGCCACCTGAACCAGGCCCAGAACATACTTTGGGTTCAGATCGTTTTAAGATGCTCTGATATAACCATCACAATAATAACTGGATTCCTATTAATCCTTTCAGATTGTCCAGGTACAACAAGTGAGCAAGCAGGAAAGTCATCATCATGTCAGGGCTGCCCCAACCAGAAGATGTGTGCTTCTGGAGCCACCAAGGCCCCTGACCCTGGTAAGGTTGTTAACACACCTTGATATTGTGGTAATTTGATATATACATTGGGGTTAGACAGTTCAACAAATATACGTGGGATTAGTGGTGGACTTAAATTTGAATTTAGTGACTCATGGTGAAGCTGATTCAAACTCAAGAGGAAAAGTGAGGAGTCTTGTTCTGCTGCTTCACACATCTCCATCTTTCAACTCCTCCCCCTGCCTCTTATCTCAGCTATAGCAGAGATAGGAGTGAAGTTGTCAACAGTCGCACACAAGATCCTTGTGTTATCTGGAAAAGGAGGAGTTGGGAAGAGCACATTCAGTGCCCATCTGGCCCACGCCCTGGCAAGTGACAGCACAAAGGAGGTAATGTTTTGGTTTGCATTTTACATCTCTCTCAAGCTTCTCTCTGTGCTGCCTGTGCTTTAGTAGCTACTGGCTCAGTGACAGAATGGCCACTTGGGCTTGTGTAGTTTAATAAAGTTAAAACAACAAAAAACAAAGGTTGGATGGTGGGTCCAGGTGAGCCGTGCTGGGGGCATAGCTGAGGGTGGTGACAGTTTCGTTGTGACATCACAAAGTTACAGAAGTCCCAATGGCTCTTTTTAAGGCAGTTTGTGAATATGAGCGGTGTGGATTTCTCTGTGGATTGAGCGCTTTGATACTTTCACAGTATTTATATAGAACCTAGACCTGCTTTGTAATCAAAAAAGACATGGAAATCTCACTGTCTACTTTAAGATGAGTTTAAAACTGTGTTGTTTGGAACAAAGTCATGTGATCTATTTACCTCCTGCTGTGCCTTGTTTACACTGTCTGAGGTTTAGTCTAAACTCAGTCGCCTTGTCCTGCAGAAATCATCAAAGTGCCACTAGAGGTCACTGTTGATATGGTTCAAGGGCATCAAGTTAATCATAAGGGAAGATTTCAAACCACATTATTAATTCATTATTAGTTTCTAAAAAGTTCAAAAGTCACCGTGTAGGGGTGTCGTGTAGCATAGTGGTCTAAGCAGGCACCCCATGTGTAGAGGCTACAGTCCACGCTGCAGTTGGCCCCGGTTCGAGTCCCGCATCAGATGGCCTTTGCTGCAAGTCATTCCCCCTCTCTCTGCCTCCCCATTTCCTGTCTCTCTCTACTGCACTATCAATAAAGGCATAAAAAGCCCAAAAAAATATACTTAAAAAAAAAAAAGTCACCATGTATAAACTTATTAATGCAAAACTTTTAAAAGTGTGTCACTACTTATATTGTGTAATTACATTTAAAAGATGCCACATCTGCATCAAGAAAGAGGGTTATTGTCTATTTGACAAACTGAAGGGGTCAATTCAGAGCAGCCACACACTGTATGAGCGAATGTCCTGCAAGGACAATAATGTAGGCAGGTAAAGTTTGAATTGTTAAGTCACCTGAGGAGAAAAATATTATATATAGAAGATAATGTATTTAACAGATTGAATTGCAATAGAGTCATTATTGTAGAAGCAATGTTTCCAGTAACAGGGTTTAAATTTGTTTTTGATAAAAATGTGTCTTTGTGATAATAAAATGTGGTACAACAAGTTATAGTTTAGCTAAACTGCAGCTAAGCTAATCAGTGAAACGCCAAGAGCACCATTCAGTTCACTGTTTAACTTAAGATAACTCGGTGTGTATTGTGTACACAGTTACTGTAAACCATAGACCTTGACTAGTTTTAGGATGGAAGGTCAAACCAGTTCAGATTTAGCTGTGTTAATATGAATAGGAAAAAAACCTGTGTTACTCCTGTATTTTTCTTTCCCACCCCGCTGTGCTGATGTTTACCGCATTCCTTCACACTGTGGAATGTGTCACTACTTATCAGTAGAAGCGAACCCTTCACAGTGTGTCTTGTTAAAACTACTTGTGTGCATAACCATGTTCAGCTGTATAAAAAGCTGCTCTAGTACAAAGACAATGGATAAAACCTTGTCAGTCCTCCTCCTCTCTGATGTCTTCTTTGTAGCCTTTAAGACATTTCAAGAGGTCAGCGTCCTCACCCTCAATGCTTGTTGCAGACAGTTGTTCAGAAGTACAAAACTGAGCCTGAGTCTGTCACAGACTCCACTACACTAGAGACTAAAGGGGGTTTGTTTTTCTGCTCTCTGCTCTTCTGTTTCTAGGTTGCCCTGCTGGATGTAGATATCTGTGGTCCATCCATTCCAAGGATCATGGGCTTGGAGGGAGAGCAAGTAAGCTGTGGCTTAGTTTATGGGAAAATGAATAATAGTACAGGTACAACACATAATAATTAGTAAATATCACAAATCTGTGCAAAGGACGGTGTCCATGTTCTTCATTTTACATAAAGTATACGTGGTAAACTTTTTTCCAACCACATATTGTATTAATTCTTTGTGTGCATATCTTGTTTTATTTTTTTGTGTAATCAAGCTTTAACGTTGGACTACACGTGCCTAATCTGTTGTTTGTGCGCAGGTTCACCAGAGTGGCTCAGGCTGGTCTCCTGTGGTGAGTCACTTCAAACTATGCTGCTGGAATTTTTAATGTTTCATTCTTCAAAGAAATTATTGTTGCCTATATCATAAATTTGTGTTTGTGTGTGTGTGTGTGTGTGTGTGTGTGTGCGTTGCAGTATGTGGATGACAACCTGGCAGTCATGTCTATTGGTTTCCTGCTGAGCAGCCCTGATGATGCTGTGATCTGGAGAGGACCCAAGAAGAATGGTGTGTGTGTGTGTGTGTATGTGTGTGTGTGCGTGTGTGTGTGTGTGTGTGTGTGTGTGTGTGTGTGTGTGTGTGTGTGTGTGTGTGTGTGTGTGTGTGTGAGAAAATTTGTTTTACTTTTTCCATGTCATGCCAGGATAATTTGTGTGGTGTTCGTCTCCAATCAGGGATGATTAAGCAGTTTTTGAGAGATGTGGACTGGGGGGAGCTGGATTACCTGATTGTGGACACGCCCCCTGGCACCTCTGACGAGCACCTCTCTATAGTCCAGTATCTAAGCTCCACCCACGTTGATGGAGCTGTCATCATTACCACACCACAGGTACACACATGCACAAGCATACAACCTATAACAGTTACTGCAGTAACTAACATTAGGCCTCATTCACCAACCACTCTTAAGAAGAAACCCACTTTTTTACAAAGATTCTGACATTCACAAATGTTTTCTGATTTGGGATTTGTTCTTAGGTAAGAACAGAATCTACGCACACTTAAGAGTACTCTTAAGCACATTTGAGTACTGACATTTTTGAGCAAAATAAGTGGTTATTGCGTTTTCTTCTGTTCTACAGTTATATATTATATTATTTAAAATACAATAATATTTTTGTCATTTATAATATTTTTTTTTAAATAACCTTTGTTATTTTATAAAGCATTATGGTCTTTTAAAATAAATGAACATTACATTAACACTTAACCGCTCGTTTGCGGCTCACCTCCTGCAGCAGTTCCTCCACTTCAGAACTACTAAAGTTCATTTTGCATTTTGATTCCGGTGCTCCATCTTTAGATTTTCATTTTGGCATTTTTTGGCATTTTGACGTCTGTCTGTGCCTGCACAATTCTGCAGTTTAAGAACATGAACCTGATCTACAGGTGCATCTCAATAAATTAGAATATCATGGAAAAGTTCATTTATTTCAGTAATTCAATTCAAAAAGTGAAACTCATATATTATATAGATTCATGACACACAGAGTGAAATATTTCAAGCCTTTATTTCTTTTAATTTTGATGATTATGGCTTACAGCTAATGAAAACCCAAAATTCAGTATCTCAGAAAATTAGAATATTACATAAGACCAATAAAAAAAAAGGGATTTTTAATACAGAAATGTTGTCCGACTGAAAGTATGTTTATGTATATGCACTTAATACTTGGTGGGGGCTCCTTTTGCAGGAATTACTGCATCAATGCAGCGTGGCATGGAGGCAATCAGCCTGTGGCACTGCTGAGGTGTTATGGAAGCCCAGGTTTCTTTGATAGAGGCCTTCAGCTTGTCTGCATTGTTGGGTCTGGTGTCTCTCATCTTCCTCTTGACAATACCCCATAGATTCTCTATGGGGTTCAGGTCAGGCGAGTTTGCTGGCCAATCAAGCACAGTAATACCATGGTCATTAAAACCAGGTATTGGTACTTTTGGCAGTGTGGGCAGGTGCCAAGTCCTGCTGGAAAATGAAATCAGCATCTCCATAAAGCTTGTCAGCAGAAGAAAGCATGAAGTGCTCTAAAATTTCCTGGTAGACGGCTGTGCTGACTTTGGACTTGATAAAACACAGTGGACCAACACCAGCAGATGACATGGCTCCCCAAATCATCACTGACTGGAAACTTCACACTGGACTTCAAGCAACTTGGATTCTGTGCCTCTCCATTCTTCCTCCAGACTCTGGGACCTTGATTTCCAGATGAAATGCAAAATTTACTTTCATCTGAAAAGAGGACTTTGGACCACTGAGCAACAATCCAGTCCTTTTTCTCCTTAGCCCAGGTAAGACGCTTCTGACGTTGTCTCTGGTTCAGGAGCGGCTTGGCAGGCCCATGTCCTGGATACGTCTGTGCGCGGTGGCTCTTGATGCACTGACTCCAGCCTCAGTCCACTCCTTGTGAATCTCCCCCAAATTCTTGAATGGCCTTTGCTTCACAAGGCTGTGGTTATCCCTGTTGCTTGTGCACCTTTTTCTACCACACTTTTTCCTTCCACTCAACTTTCTATGAATATGCTACAGCACTCTGTGAACAGCCAGCTTCTTAAGCAATGACCTTTTGTGGCTTACCCTTCTTGGTGACTGTCTCCTGGACAACTGTCAAGTCAGCAGTCTTCCCCATGATTGTGTAGCCTACTGAACCAGACTGAGAGACCATTTAAAGGCTCAGGAAACCTTCTCAAGGGTTTTTTCTGTTAATTAGCTGATTAGACTGTGACACCGTGAGTCTACAATATTGAACTTTTTCACAATATTCAAATTTTCTGATATACTGAATTTTGGGTTTTCATTAGCTGTAAGCCATAATCATCAAAATTAAAAGAAATAAAGGCTTGAAATATTTCACTCTGTGTGTCATGAATCTATATAATATATGAGTTTCACTTTTTGAATTGAATTACTGAAATAAATGAACTTTTCCATGATATTCTAATTTATTGAGATGCACCTGTGGAGTTTTCTTAAGAACAACTTAAGAAAGTTCTTAAGAAAATACTTAAGGCGATATTGGTGAATGAGGCCCATTAACTGCATTTACAGCAACCGTAAAGGGGAATTCTGCCATAAGTCTACTTTCAATACTACTTGTACTGATGTCTGATGTGATGTCTTACAGAATGAATTGCAACCACCTGGATTTGTTCGTTTAGCTGGTGGTTTTTATGTTAATCTACAGAGTAATAGTGATAGTGACACTAAAAACCACAACGAGATTATTAGACAACAATGAGATCTGATAATGAGATCTGATGGTGCAGTTAAACACGGGAATCACGCTGTATACTCAAAATGCAACATTGCTACAGCTGCATTATATTTTGGCATCTCTGTTAAACATTAGGTTTTGTTATAATGTCTCTAGTAATCAAAAGCAAAGACCTTATGTCTAGAATTCACATCAGAATATATTAGCAATCATAAAAGAAGAAAACCAAAAAGAGAGGGGGTGACTGTATAATGGAAGACCATGATAGAGTGTAGTAGTTTGTCACAACTGGAAAACCCCTCACTCCCCATACTCCTGTATGTGTCACCAGTCGTCTCTCCACCTACATTTTTAACCCACAGCTAAATGCAGTAAGTAGCCAACCATTGCTGGGGGCTAGTGGAAAATAATTCTGAGAAGATTGAGAGAAAGTGGCACAGCTTTCAAAATGACGTATTTTGTTGGTCATTGAAGTGAAATGAAGTAAATTTAATCTCTGCAGCAAACAGACATTGAAAAAAACTGTTACTTTCTCCAGTAAAATCCAACTGTATTTGTGGCATGTGCAAAAGTTTGGACAGTTTGCTACTTTTAAATCATCAGAACTTGAGGAACTCATTTAGCCTTAATTGTCTTGTTACAACTTGTTTGCTGATGACATTTCCAGAGTTGATAAATTCTCTGACTCTAAAAAAAAACCTATGCCCAACTGAGGATCTGAAAATGAAGCTAACTGACTCCTACAAAGAATGAGCGGTCATTAAAAAAACAACCATAGCACTTCCAGTTTGAAATGGCTACTGTCTGAAGCGGCGTTATGAAATGACAGTTAAGGGGAACTGTATAGGCCAGACAAGATCTGAAAGATCAGGAACACTTACAGAAAATAAGACTGCACATCTGCTGTGCAGAAAGGCAAAACAAAACCCCTGTATGACTGTAACATATCTGTAGGAAACGCCAGGGATGGGGTTTTAAGTTTGATGAGGGTTGAAGATTGCTGAGGGACATTTTTCTTATGTTAGCATAAGGCTGCAACATGACAAAATGTGAAAACTTTGATGATCCCTGTGACTTTTTTGATAGTGCTTTTATTTCACACAATGTTTTTACCAAATGGCAACCAACAGAGGATGCTATTTTATCATAAACTCATAAAAGTTTAAGCTCCACTGTCCACACTAACTGCCATGGCACAATATAAAGTTGTTTAATAGTTAAGTACAAAACACAAAATTGTAGCAACACCCAACATGAAATACAGAACAGTTAAGCAGAAAAATAATAAACCCTGTGGATTCTCAGGTGTCCTCTCCTAAAGTATACATTATATACTATCAAAGCTATAGGTTGTATATGGATGGTATGTATTCATTTTACAGACACACATATAAACCCAACACAATACTTTGAGGCTTTAGTTGCTGACTGCACATTATTTCACACCTGCTTTGATAAGGTATTGTGATTTGAATGATGTTTGTTTGTTTGTATGACAAGGACAGACTAACGTTGGTGTGTGGACTAAATTGGCTACAGACCTTTCAACACACAAATACACACATATACACATTGATCATGTTATAAATATAGACATACACACTGAATTAACCCATGTAATCTCCAATTCTAAGACAGTACTCAGTGGTCCTCTGAGCTAATACTGACTAAAATATGAAATGTGCACCGCAGCCATACTGAAGGTTCTTCTGCAGTTTATGCACGGTATCAAGCAGTAGCTAACGTTAGCAGTTTGCCATTATCATTGTAGCTATAAAGAAGTCTTAAGTGTGTCAGCATGCCAACAGCCCTGTGTGCTCAGGGTAACGGCTAACTGTGCTTAACCTACAGTGTTTTGGAGCAGACTTTGCACTAAAGACTTGTTTAAGTTGTTTGTCCTCTTCATTCTAAGAAAACATGACACTTAAATGAAGTCAGGACTTATGAGGTCAGACAGCAATTGAATCATTTCCTCATTCCATCAGCTCTCGCTTAACCAAAAGTAACCACCTGGGGTGGGAATTACCCAAGGAAAGAAGCCAGTTGCCTAACTCTTGATATCAAAGAGCATTTTTTTCACACTCAGACATGCCAACACATTTATACATGAGAGCTAAACACACAGTTTTTCTCAAGGGAACACTGATAGCAGATGTAGGTGAAGGGAAAACAATATTAACGGATCCTTTCTCTTTCGCTCTTCTCACTCCGTTTCCTCCCCATTTCTCTTCTCTCTTCTCTCCTGTCTGCCTTCTACCTCACCCTTGTGTCTTGCATTGCCTTTCTTTTTCTGTCTCGCTATCCGTTTCCTCTGTCTGGTTCTCTCTCTCTAGGAGGTATCGTTGCAGGATGTGCGAAAGGAGATTAGATTTTGTCAGAAGGTCAAGCTGCCAATCATCGGAGTGGTGGAGAACATGAGCGGTTTCGTCTGTCCAAAATGCAAGGTCACTGACAGATACACATGCGCGTAACACTCAGACACACTTGTATACAAACACAATCAAACTGGATGAAAAGCATGGAAATGTACAGTACATGAACTGGGGAAGCATCTGGGTAAATCATGCATTAAAAAAAATCTAAATATTTTTATTACATAATGACTCTCTGCATCATCCCTCATTAAAGGACACTATTTTTAAAGTACTTAAAGGGCCACTCCCCCCATTTTGCACATGGACATCAGTTTATTTCTTATGAGGTGTACTGCTCAGTCTGTGAAAACAGTTGTATGAATAACCCTGATGATGTCATAGCGATGTCATTAGGGTCGTCTTGGATTGGTTTTATTTGCTTAAAAGACAGTAAGAAAGAAAGAGAGCCCGAGTTTCGCAGTTGGGATGTTTAGATTGACAGATGTCAGTATTTACCAGACAAGTAAGATCTAACAAAAGACACTACAGAGTTGCATTATGGGAAATGTGTTCTAGTAGCTTGACTTATACTAGGGACTTAAAGTCAGGATATCTTGGCCTCCAATGCCTTGATTTTGACCATTCTTTTTTTTTCATCTGTCCCATAATAAGCCGCTTGAGCAGAGAAAGAAACGTTTAAGTATCAAACCACTCCAGATTCAGAGCCAATACTATATTGAAAACACTGTTGAAGGTGATGTTTCTCACAGTTACACACAAGTCAGACTCAGTTTTACTCTTTGCACACTCAAACCACCATTGTGATTTCATTTGTTATTAACATTAAATGATGAAACAGACTACAAAGAAAAACAAAATAGACTGTAAGAGAGAGAAACTATATAGATTTGATAGCACTCCATTTTTTGTTTCATATAAATTCCGTCTCTGATGTCTGTAAAATCTTTGTAGTTCCACTGAGCTTGAAGGCTGCAATCAGCTTGAATTCATGGTGATTATGACAGTGACCTCACAATGAAAATGTGAACATCTAATCTAAACATTTAAATATTTTCCATTCCTGGACTCGACATGTAAACAAGCAGCACCTGGATCCAAGGTAATTTAGGCCCCCTGAAAACAATCTGAAAATGCAACCAACAACTTTGGTTTTTCTTTGTCCTCTCTTTTGCAGAACACATCACAAATCTTCCCTCCCACCAGCGGAGGCGCTGAGCGAATGTGTGCGGATCTGAATCTGCCTCTGTTAGGAAAGATACCTCTAGACCCTCGGATCGCACGTAGCTGCGACGAGGGCAGATCTTTCCTCAACGTAGTACCTGACTCTCCTGCTGCTAAAGTGTACCAGAGCATTGTGCAGAGTGAGCGTTTACAAAGAATCCATACACAACACACACATACGCAAACATGTCCCGTGCCCATTTGTCCACCTCTTTCATCATATTGTGAATTTCGATAGATTCCTGAGTAAGGGACATTTGACGCGCAACGATATATTTTGACTTCCATCGAAGTCCCTCATTGTTTTTGATGACTAGATGGTTTACTTGTTGGTCCAATTCCTGATTAAACGTAATGAAAGGGGAAGTGATCTCTTTACAAATGGGAACCAGTCTCGTAAAGGGGAAGAAAGGTTTATATCGAAATTAAATAACTGTGCTGCATGAGATTAAAGTTGAAGCATCAAATTTGTTTTTTTTTTAGTAGTGGATGAGTCACCCAGGGCTTTTGCCTTGTGCATGCAGACACAAAGATCATAAAAAACAGAAGTATAGTTATCTGTTTGGAAATCTTCAAAAGTTCATCAAAACTACCATTTTCTTTAACACTAGCTCTTCTCCTCTGTCCTCCGCCAGGTATCCAGGACTACTGTTCCAACCGTGTGACAGAGGAGCAGAGCACTAACTGAAGACCCTCTGATGGCGGCCATACTGAACCACAGCACTAGATAGATATGAATATGATATGGTAGATATGAAACACGCATAGGAAAGCCCATAACATCAGTATTGCTACGTTTATTAAAGCTACAACATAATTGTAATTCATGACAGGCAGCGACGTTGGTTTTAGTTTGGTGAGGTGGCCAAAATAAGCACTTCGGTCCATTCTTCATTTTCGATTCTTGCATTACAAGTTGTTCCTACTGAAGATGTAAATCTGTGAAAACAGGTTACAAATATAGAATTTAAATTTCAAGGTGGAATAAATGATTTTCCTAAAACAGCTGGGCACTGTAGTTGTTACTAAACATAACTCTTAACAGGAGAAAGTAGTATATTTGTTGGGGAGTCTTTTCAGCTGCGGATTAATACACATTTCCTCAAGTGAGTATTTACAGCAGCAGAATAGTGTTTATGGGATTGACTCAAAATAACCTACAGTGCCCACGTTAATGGGTAATAGTAAAGGAACATGTCACCCAGTTTAACGGTGTTGCTTCTTGATGTGTTGTTAATAGCAAACAGCAAAATAGAAAACAAAGCTCTATGGCACAGAGGGAGAAGATATATTAACCCTGGGTTACACGGAGAGTGATTAATCGTGGAATCAATTCATTGTCTGTTTTTGTCTTTTTATGGGATTCATTGACAATAAGAGAAATATAGAATATCACCAGACTTATCTTTATGTAAGTTAAAGTGCAGGCGGGGGACCAGTGCAGTGTCAGAGGCTCAATTTGGCACAATCATACATATAAACTATGTCAGTTCCATTGTAAGGTGATACTGCCAAATACTGTCACTACTGTTAATACATGGTATTTGGGGAAGTTAAAGCTTTGATCATGTACTAGTTCAAGCAGTGGAGACGTTTAACCATTTCGCACAAGGATGTTTTTCGGCTATCAATCCGCTGGCCCTCATTGACCCTGGTTGCAGTGAATCAGTAGTAAGCAGGAAGAGAGTCAAATGTGGCACCAATAACTGGGGATTGAACCCATGTAGGTTAACCACTGAGCACACATTTGATTTTGCTCTGTCGTTGATTGTAATCATTCCACCTTTCAAATCAGCAGAGTTTTATAGAGAGATGTTAACCTTCCATCTAAAGTTAAGTTTACATCACATTTACGTCACGATTTGAGCAACTCTTCCTCATATAGAATAAATACACCAGCAACAACATAACTTGTAAAGTTGTATTCCCTGTTTTGAATTACTGTTGTCTATGATTCGATTGATTTTATGTTAAAAAATGATTTGGACAGATGTTTATGTGACATACGTCACGTACGTAATAAAATACCAAACATGAAATGGCCTATCATGATTTTTCTATTCATTTTACTAAACCCTCACTGTAGGTTTGTTTTTGTTTTGTTTATCTGCTAAGTCTAAGATCTGGGTAAACTTTAATGTTAAAACTCACAGTTTCATATGTATTGATGATGATTGCCTGTGTGCGTGTGCGTGTGCGTGTGCGTGTGCGTGTGTGTGTGTGTGTGTGTGTGTGTGTGTACACACGCGTGTGCACTTACTCATGTTGTGGGGACATAAATCTGTTTGCATAATCAAATTGTGAGGATTTAATTTTAGAGTAAGGGTTGAGGACAAGAATTTCCTGCTTGTCTAAAGGAACTGAATATAAGTCGGTATAATGTCCCCTGAAATGATGGAAATCAACCCTGTGCATGTGTTTGTCCTCGTGTACTTGCTGTACATGGTAGTTCCTTCAGGCTTCACAAAAAAACACATGTGAAACTGCATCTGCATCCTGCTAACAGACAAAACAACAGCAGCATCAACCACACAGACAAGTGTTTTTCACACATCAGACTGTAGGTCCCTTGAAGCCTTTTATTTTGAGCTATAAAAGTAAGAATTAGATTTTAAAGAATGAAAGAGTAAAAAATGATAGTGTCCATAATAAATACAGAGAGGGGACAAAGGAAAAGCCTGGATAAATGAGTGGAGAAACACAATGAAAGCAGGTGCTTCCACACACGAACACCGCATGGTACAATGAAGCAGTTAACATCCAGTCGTGCCCTCGGCAGGTATAAAAATTCTGAGCAGGAGCTTCAGTCACAAAGATACTCAGCTGGACAGCCAGTGTTTGAATAGTGACTAAAGTGACATTTAGATCTATGGGAAAGACGTCAGTAAACGGGGTCCGAAGTTATAGTCGACCCTACATTTGAAGGAAAAACAGAAGAGCAACTCTTCCTCGGGTGATCAGCCTATGTCAGCAAGAACAGTCCCATCAGTCTCATAAAGAGGGCTATTATAGTAGGGTTGCAATGGAGACGAAAACACTTTTTCAGACTTCAGTGGCACTGCTCTACAGAGATGTAGAAAAATGTGATACGGTCAGATGAGTCATTCTTCCCCATATTTTAGAAAAGCGGGCGTGTGCATACGTGGCCCACACCAAGAGAACGGTACGGGCCTGAATGCTTGGACCCTACACTGAGGCTTACTTCTATAAAGACGTTGTGCCTAAAAGATTCGATGCACGAGAAACCTCATACTGAGGCTACAAAATACGTTTCTTCTCTATTCATCTTTCCTTACATGGTTTCTCCTCCATCGATACCCGTCATTAACAGATAATCTCTACTCATTTTAAGGTGCAGGACGTGTGGCAAGAGCCGTGGTACAAATCAAAAGCAAACCAAAAATGGTGATACTGGTTATAGCAGGACGGCATGCACCATGTCACCAAACCAGTTCTAACGCCTAAAATACATAACAGGTGACACATGTTTGCGCATTTGTATTTTAGACAAAGCCTATAACGACACTTTGTAAGTCGTGAACAATTGTGGTGTAAACAACAAAGTGTGGGAAAATGTTCGGTCCGACTCAGATAGAATAGGGGAGTATTAATGAATGTGTTTCCTCCCTCATATTCTGTTACACAAAGAAAAAGTTGCTACATCAGTGAAACAGAGAGTCTTCGTGTGTATGTGTGTGTGTGATATTGAACTCAACAATGTGTGTATGTCTTTTGTCTATTAAAATGATCAAAAGTTAGGTGCCATTAGACAAAATGAATGCACACCAATAGTGCCACATAAAGAGCTGGAGTGATTTTTTAAGTTGGGATGTGTGGTGACGAAAATGTGAAACTGAAAGCCTGTCTCCCATTTCCCCTTTTCCTTGTGTGGGCATTTAAACTCACTTCTTAATAACAATGATATCACTACCCCCCCCCCCCAGAAAATAAAAGTCTCTCCCACATTCATTCACACACACACACACACACACACAAAAAAGGCCTCCCCTTCAGCCACACACACACCTCCTTTCCATTAATGTGAACGCCTCTTGAGTAAAATCATTGCGTCCCTTTAAAAAAAAACAAAACAACTAAAACTCAGTCATCCCTACAAGCAGCTGTCTCTTTTGCCAGACCTCAATGTCTAGGGCGCGGACGTCGTCCTCACCATGGCGCAGTTTGAGGAGGTTCTGGGCGGCGTGCGGCTGGCTCTGACCTGGGCCTGTCCCGCCGAGATCCAAGCTCTGCTTGAGGGTTTGGTGGAAGAGCGGATCATCTCAGAGGCCTACAGCAAGAGCCTGAGTCTGCATCGGCTCATTAAAGGGATCGAAACCGGGTCCGTTCACAGCAAACCGGCATGGGAAGCAGGATCTGATCAGATTAATTCTCGAGGACCAGCCACCCACCAAGGTCACCTCGGCCAGGTGTGGAAATGTGGGTCACCGAAGTCGAGGGAATCTGCCATCACGTGTGATGATCAATACAGTTTCAGATTCAACGATGAAATCACAGAGTTGCTGAGAGGTGCAGAATCAGTGCAGAAGATGATAAGTGATAATGAAAGAATTGGTGAGGGGAATTCAGACGATGAGAAGGAGTGGTTAGAGACAGTAGAGGAGGTGGCTAGGAAGATAGCTGTTCCTCTATGGCAGCACTGGGACAGAGGACAGAGGATGTTGCTGCCTCTGGTTTCTTGTATGATGACTGGCTGTGCAATAAGTGAAAGTACAACACTAGACTGCGAAGCACAATGCCCTAGTTTGAATATGGAAGAGGAAACAGAGCTCACAACTGCTTGTAGGACGCTGGATTTGTACAGTGATAACTTTCATTTTAGGGAGGCAGAGGATACAGACACAAGCTTCACACTGGATACAGAAGGAGCCACTGACTCACTGAAAGGCCTCTGTCTCTCTGCGTTCAACAGCGCAGCGACCGCTGGATTGAACATGGATCACGTTGGGAACGTTTCACCTGTCGAGGCCTGCACAGCAACAGACACTAGCAACGCAGACACCTGTCTGGAGGGCCATCTCAGTGTCTGCTGCTTAGCTGACGGGACAACAGACACAACAGACGACCTGATGTGTCTGGCAGGAGACACAGATGCTGGATTTGATGAAGATGACTCATTTTACTCAAAAACAGATCACAGCATTGCAGCAGGTGTTCTTGAAAACTTAGAAAATGTTTTCAGGACTGCTTATGGCGCGGCAAGATGCAGCATTGACAGCACAACAGACTTCCATGAGAAGAAAGAGGAGGAGAGAGTGGATCCACACTGGGGTAAGCTTACACTCATAACTAACACTATATACATATTACTATTATCAATACTTTCAGTATGTCTGTTCTTTTACATTCTCTTTACCTCTGTAACTCCCCATTTACATGAAATGTCTGGGTTTACAGAAATACTGTCAAAGCTTTGATTTAATGTGCATTTGGGTGTCATCACAGTCCTGAAAGAAGTGTTGTTGTTTATTCTAGGTGCTTTCCAAAAGTCCATGCAGCCAATATTTGCCCCCCTTTGTTTTGGTTAGTAGCTGGGAGTGCCTTGGTAGTTAGGGAGGACTCTACTTTCAGTTTCACTTTGGCACATCCCAAAGCTAATTTGAATTTCTCCTCTTGGCTAATAATTCTCCAAAAGCCAAACAGTCTCAGTATGCTACACTGTACGCCATCAGTACTCAGCAGGGATCAGGAAATAAAGAGCATTTGAAAACATCTGATGAAGAGCAGTGTTATGAGGACGGCTCAGGAGTACAGGTTTAGATGGGCAAAATAGTCTTTTCTTTAAAATATTCATAAACTGGACATTACAGAGCCATGGTGCGCACCTGCTATCAGTGGGCTTTACATAACAAACATTTTTGGAAGTGGACGAGAATGTTGTTTAGTTCTGTGGAAATTATTGCACTCAATTACAAGGGTGGAGCTTTCCTTTTGTACAGTGCTTCTGGACGTGATCTATTCTGGTCTCCCATACCAAAGTTATTATTTATCTGCTAGCAGTTTTCTAAGTCCAGTTTCAGAATTTCTGTGTGTGTGTGTGTGTGTGTGTGTGTGTGTGTGTGCATGTGTACGAGCATGTGCATACTTTTGGTGCATGCACACTCATGGTTTCTAAAGTCAATACTCCATAATCATATAACCACACAGGAAAACTGGTATCAATGGCATGGGTGTGTGTGATGTAATGTGTGGGGCCATAGTACATGATGAGGGCTTAATCAGACTGGCACTGATGAACAGGTAGGGCAGGTACTTTCCACTTTATAACCAAAACTCCCCATGTTTCCTTGTGCACATCAGTAAGTCTAATGTGTTTTGATGTTGTTTTTCAAACGTGGTGGTGGTCGCACAGGAGGTCAAGGGCTCAGTAGCAGGGTTCAAACAATACTGTATATGCTAAAATTATAACATTAGAGCATGTTCATGCCAACAAACTCCGGCTATTAAGTTTTACTACTGAAACTTGTTACTCATTACAAACCGTAGCTGCAATATTGACAACATAAGTCGTTTTATACAAATAAAGGTTCATAATGTAAATAATAACCAAGTGTCAAAGACAAATGCAGTGGAGAAAAGGCTTCTGAAGAGATCCAAGCTAAAATATACACATTGACATACTGTACTGGACAAACTGTGGTAAGGCAGCGTTGGATAGAAAGGAAAGAGGACGTTAGAAATGAATGAATGGAATGGAACATGAGCTGACCTGGGACAGTTAAACTTAAACAATTAAACTGCTAGTAAAGTAAAATAATAACTGATCTGTCAGAATATTTTCNTTAATCAGACTGGCACTGATGAACAGGTAGGGCAGGTACTCTGCTAGTAAAGTAAAATAATAACTGATCTTTTGAGTCAGCTGATAAAATGTGTTTATGCTTTTGGTATGTTGTTTCCCACGAAGTCTCCAAGAGATATGTTTCAGCCATTTAACTGTTAAACAGTCTGGGAGAAATCCATGCAAAAATTTATGATTAATTATGTAAACTCCATGAGCCAGAGCAGACAGGGGTTTAAGGAGAGGAGAGATTAAAGTCTAGCAGCAGGAACCTGGACTGGAAGGTTTCTTCTTACAGACGTTTGAGCTGAGGATGCTGAAGAAGTCTGGGGTTCATCACAAACTCACATTCACACATTCAGCAAATCTCTTATTGATCACTTAAGGTGTGGTGATGGACTTTGAATCACTTTTCAAATTAATCATAACTGCAGCTTGTTCAAGAAATAGACCCCGCCACCAACAATCCACCTCTTTCAGCTTGGCGTGTCCGGAGGCGCACACAGGCAAAGTGAAAGTAAAAGATTTGTTTGACAGCAGGTTGTGCGCACTAACTGAAGGCAGTATAGGTCATTTGAGGACATAGCATATACAGTGGTTGATGTAACTCACCGCGGTTGGGAGTTTATCGCTCAGGGAATATACAGGAGTTGAGCGGACCGCAGCATCATCCAGCGAGGCCGGTCACGCAGGTAAATGATATCCCGGCTCTAAGGGGGCATCTTGGGCACATTTATCCAAAGTGCGCAGGCATTGCTATGAAAGGGATTCCCCCCCCCCTTTCAACCACACTGGTTTGTATATGAGTCATTTGGTAGTGATTTTAAATTGTTTGATTGAATTTTGTGCAGAGATATTGTTTTTTAGGTTTTATCTATGATTTGCATCATAATAGGTGATGCGCATAAACAAAAAGAAGTTCTAAAGATGTTTTTTGGCTTTTCTGCCTTTAAATAACCTTAATTGTGCCAATATATAGATACATATAGCCTTGGATTTCTTTGTGTCCTTAAACTATAATGCGGGTGAATTCCTTTACGCGTGTGTGTAATATGGCTTCTCTCCACCAGCATGTCCCCCCAGCGTGAACTGTTGCATGAGCAAATGAGTTATTTTCAGGGAAGTCTGTTAACATTGTATTTGGGGGACTTCCAAGGTAGTAAAAGAAAGTAATGGCATTTTTTAAAGTCCAACTTCTTAAAATCGCTGCTTAGGTCAGCATGTGTGAACGCTGCAGAACCAAAGACTTTCAGTCTTTGATGATGAGGGTTTGACAATATTTAAGGCTTTTCTTTGTTTCCTGCAGTTTTTTTTCTCTCTTGCGAGCATACACTGTGCTGCATGTGGCCATGGGTGCCTGTTTTTGCTGGTGAAGTTGTTGTTGAGGAGGCCATATTGCAAGGAGGTGCTGTATTTAAATTGGCAAGTTCCTCATAGCTGAGACTCTTGTTGTGTGTGTAATCAAGCATCAAGCCACTGCTATTTCTCTTGAAAATGGATTAAAATAGCATGAGCACCTGGTCTACAATCTTTATACTTACACACGGCAGAAAAAATAGGAAACAAGTGTTTGAAATTTGACAGTAAGAGTTCTTTCTCAAGTGTGTGTCTGGAGTCATTGGACATAGAGGGGTCCTCATTTCAGTTGGTTGCATCCACGACCTGCTGCCATAATGTAACCTGAAAGGACATCAAACAGTACTGACAGAACAAATGACTCATTTACTTGAGTACTGTACTTATGAATATATATCTTTTGGAAACCTTTACACCACTACACTTAAAGGACAAATACTGTACTTTTGACTCCACTACATTTCTATGAAGTTACTTTGAATTAAGCTTTTAGTCTGTGGAATGAATTTCATACTGCGATAGGCCATACAATGTGTGTGTCATAGTATAAACAACAGTCACAGCCAACTCCTACACTGTCAATCATGCTGTGTGTGTGTGTCTGTGTCTGTGTCTGTGTGCGTGTGCGTGTTTGAACAGCTCAGTGTGAACTCGGCCACAGCCTAAAGACGGCTACGTTCGACAAAGACGAAGATTCTTCATCAGACCATCAATGGTCTAGATAGATAGATACTTTATTTACCCCCTAGGGGAGATTCATGTCAACTGTGTTGACATTAAAAAAAAATTACTTATGAAAAAGTATTTTTAAAGTACTCCAGTATTTTAACGCAAGTAAAAATTTGACTGAACTATTATTTACTAGTATTGGAGCAATATTTGACTAGGAGTGTCTATACTTTGACTCAAGTAATGGAGCTGTGTCCACCTCTGCCCATCTTTAACTTGAATACCTGCAGCTGATTTTTAAAATTTTCATCCCATGGAGCCCGCAGAGTGGTCTGAGCTCGGTCATCTCGGTAACGTGTGAACAGGTATCCCACTGGATAGTAGACAGTGCCAGCCTTTCCCCCAAGTTCCCTGAACAAGATCTCAAGCACCTTTTTCTGGGTTCATTTTTCTGTGATCACTGAGCTGAAAATGCAAGAACCAGTTATCTGCCAATCACAACCACAGACACCGTCCAGCTTCCTTTTCCCGGATGAAATAGGTCATCGAACAATTTTAGAGCTTTATTGCGAGGTGATAACTCGTCGAATCAAGCATTTCAAAATCCTGTGAATACCAGGACTAATCCATCTAAAGAGCACAAGTCTGATTATTCGCCGTATTAGGACGCGCTGGAAATGGATCATCACAGGTGAAGCTGGGTGTGTACCTGAGGAGCCTCTAACCGACACCAGAGCTGTCTGTCCTCATGTCGAAAGGCTTTGTGTACCATTCAAGGGGAAAACAGTGTTGTGGTTTCCAGGCATGGACTGGGTCAAACTTCTGAACAGGTTTGCAGTCTTACACCTCAAAACAATCACAACAATAGGTGAAAGTGCTAACCACACAATCACAGTCACAGTGCTCCCTATGTATTTCATTCATTCATTCATTCACTCACTAAACATTAGGGATTAGCTTCATGGGTCATTTTAGGTTGGCTTTAAGAATTACACCATCTGGTTTGATGAGTGTATGATGAGCCAGGGCCAGTCCATCTCTGAATTAAGCCTACATCTAAACAAAATAGCCCCATTTACTGTAACTTTCAAAGTTACACACTGTATTGTGTATTGTGAACCAGTCTTTCTTTCTTTCTTTCTTTCTTTCTTTCTTTCTTTCTTTCTTTCTTTCTTTCTTTCTCTCTGTCTGTCTTTCTCTCTTAATTTCTTCCTTCTTTAGGATCTGTAACAACACAAGTTGCATCTATTTCCATGTAAGTCTCAGGGTCTCAACACTGAACAGAAAAACCCGTTGTTTTTTCCACAGCTACTTCCTTTGTCCTTGCTCATCTTCCTCAGTTCCTGTCTTCTGTGCTTTCTGCCCCTGGATTTTATATTATTATTACTTATTTATCCCTTTATTAGACAGTGCCACAACAGTGATGAGACTCAAATCGCTATGGTTTTGTGCCTCTGAAAGACCAACGAACAAACAAATCCATATATAAGAGTCCTGGGTCTCTATTTAAGAAATCATTTACAGTCAAATTCTAGCATAAGTGGCAGCTACAAGAAAAAATTCTCCTCTTTTACTTTTTCTTTCCTTACTTTACTTTACTATAGCTATTTTTTGTGCCTTAAAAACACTCTAGAGGTTTCTCAAGCTGGTTGGGAGACATCTTTTAACCTCCTGGATAGCTGCAGAGACAGCGGCGAGCACACACCTGTGACATGTTTTGGAAAGACTGTACAACGCAGCTTCGGTCGTGACGCGCACGATTCAGAATAGGAGAGTTTTAGCTCAACAGTCGAAGAAGTTCCTTTCTTGTAAACTGTGATCTCCTAGGGGTTATAAACCACAAAAATAAATCCGGCATTGATATTGTTGGCTCTCTTTCCATGCATGTTTTTGTATATACAGTAGGTGGTAATCAATTAAGAAATTCCCCCTAGTTTGTTTTTGTTTTTGGCCAGTTTCCTTCATTTTACATGTTAATTGCTTTGGGGGAGGTTAGATATTTTATTCAAATGAAACTCCTTGTTATTCTTATTATTGTAGTCATATACAATAGGTCGACATGTATACCTGTAATTCATCACCGAGCAAACTCGAGCAGTCAAGTGATGAGTTAATTGCTTCTTAAATGACACCGCCTCCTCTTGTAAGTCAAGGCACTGCTATTTTATTTATATAAGTATATGCAAACTCAGTGTTATAAGTCAAAATCCAGACTGCAACAAGTTACAGGTATAGAAGATGTAATAATAACAAAAGAAGGAAAAATATAAGACATAATTAGATAGAAACCACAACCACTGGCACACACACACACACTGGGACAAACTTGGACTGTTTGCTCGTGGCATTCATTTCATAAATTGTTCATATCACCTCAACAGCTGTCCGCCTGGTATACCTTATGGCATTTACTGTGTCCTCTATATCTTCATGTTGGGAGAGACTGTAAAGGTTGTGAGACAATTTTGATTTTGTGGAGCACAATGATACCTTCATTAATATAAACCCATTTTACCCCTAGCACAACACAAGCAGCACGCAGAAGTGAATGAATGTTTCTCCTCATGCATCATTTCAGAGAACAATGAAATGAGCGTGGTGTTTACAGTGAGATTTGGCAATGAGGAAATCCTCAAACTTAGCATTGGAACAAGTGCAAAGCTTGATAACAGAATTGTGGTGGCAGCACTGACTTTGTCAGATTTTCACCTGAGGTTGAAGAGTTTGTGACACAAATCAGGAGTAACTGTGGAACAGTGCACTCGGCCATCAGTTTAACATGAGCCAGAGTAGTACTCCGTGATTTTAATACTCTTTCATCAATATCTTCATTTCGTCACTCAGTTTGTTTTCATGTTCTGTGTGTTTGTGTGTGTGTGTGTGTGTGTGTGTGTGTGTGTGTGTGTGTGTGTGTGTGTGTGTGTGTTTTCAGGCGCCAAGATGCATGAAGTAGATCAGGACCAATTTATCACCTTAGAGCTCGGAGATCTGCCAGGTTAGTATCGTTTGAATTTGAAAGACCTGTCTGGATTGTAGAAAGCAGCTCTGCAGAATTGCTCGACACAAATAAACACACTGATTAGATGTTACTAATTGCTACTATAGTTTGTTTCATAAAACTACTGGAACATCACAAATACATGAAGCTCACCTTTCAGAGGGGGGGCGGGGGTAACTGGAGAAATCTCCTTAAGAAGCAGATAAAAGACTAAAAGGGTGGGATGTTTGACAAGAAAATCTCGTCTAATACAACGTCTAATACAACGTAAAACCATTATAATTGAGAACGAAAGCTGTATTTAGGAAAGTAGCACCAAAGGTTTAAAGGTTTTTGAAATTTGAATGGGTAATCAGTTGACTGACTCAAATGAAAACTGTAGCCAATGTTTTGTGTGATAATACTGACAATGTGTGTTTCAGACGATTTATCTGAATTCATGAAAGATGATTACCTGCCGTTGATCGGTAAGTTGCTCACAAACCTGAACACACACTTTTACATTTTGACACACACATTCTCACTCAAACAGTATGGAATAACTTAATAAAGGTCTGTTAGGTGACTTTCACACACAGACTCACATTTTCAAGTGTAAATGCAAAGGTGATCTGTTGTCTAATTCCCTTCATGCATTTTCTGACCTAGACACAGATGTGCTCTTCGGCGATGTGTGGTTGAATGGAGAGGACTCCAACAACTTCAGTAAGAATCTCTCTCTTTTTCATTTTACAACCACTGATACATGGCAGACAATAAATGATGCTCAGGCAGAAAATGAAAAGGTCCAGACAGCAGCACAGGGATTCACTGGGTTACTTTGCAGGAAAAAGCAGGATGGTTGCACTCAATGGTTGTAGAGATCATCTTTAATTTCAGTCCATTTTGTCAATAAGGTATATTTGGAGCTAATATGACCCCAAGCAGATCAAGAGTGCATCACATAATGAGCTGCAGCTTTTTCCTGGTTTTATGTAAATTACAGAAAGTAAATGACTTTAGGCTCCTATAAAGGACAGGAGAAAAAAATATACCTGAAGAAAAAGATCAGTGAGACCCCAAACAATGAGAAATCAAAACATGAGGGCCGAGAAATTATGATTCAAGTCACAGTTGCCTTATATTTTACCCTACGTGCCACTTCCTTCTCTGAATCTTCAAGATGTTTACAGAAAATGCTTCACTATCTTGATTTTCAGTACTGGAATGCATAAGAAGGATGACTATTTCTGGTTACTGGGTCTGCAAACTGCTTCACTGACTCCTTTACTTCCTTTTTCATGCACTACAGGTGATGTTGCTTTGCCAACAGAGCTGCCGTGCACAGGCAGCCACCAGCAGAGACAAAAGAACAAAGTAACGGGCAAAACAAACAGTGGGAGAAAAAGAAAGAGAGGTAAATAACTAGAACTAACTAACTAGAACCTGCCAACTGCAGCTCAGTTTGCTGCTGCTCAGTTTCTGTGAAAACTGCCCTTTGTCATAAAAAAAAAAAAACTTTTTGGGATTGCAGCTACGACGATCCTCAAGTCTACCCGGGCACAGCGGCGCACTGATGAGAACACACCATCCAAACCAAAGAAACGAAGAGCTGCAGGTGACCTACCCAGACTGTTTGTTTGGATTTCTGGTTTTTGATTATTTATAACATTTGTGCTTCAAATGCCGGTCACTGTGAAATATATAACCTGCGCGGTGTCCAGTTGGCCACCAGTCCATCAGATAGCTAATATTTCATGGCTTTGTTTTTATCACATTTTTACAGTTATTTATATCGTTCCAGAACAGAGTCCAGGCTCATGTAATTCCTCAATGTAATAAATCCACCCATAAAGATTATGGTGAAAACAAAAGATGCGATAAAGAAGATGACAAACATGAATATTATTCCCTTTCCTGTCTGTTCAATAATCTGACAATAATAATAAATATTTCCAACAACATTTAAGCATTTAAGGTGTTAACAAGATCGTAACAGTGGTTCTGCATGTCTGAGCCCATTGACGACGAATCACTTGACATCACAACTCCCCGAATTTGTAAACTATGTTGCTGGGTTTAAGAAATGTGAATGTATTTGGTATGGTATCAATATGTCCTGATATTCATTTGGCAGACCATTAAGCTGCGCATATCCCATCACAGTGAATCATCAATTGTCTTAGTTTAGTGTTAACATCATTGTTAGAAGGTTCAAGAGTCTCATAGTTCATTTTCATATTGTAGGAAAGGATTATAGAATATGAATGGCTGACTGGAACAGTAGGAAAAATTTATTAAAAAATAACGCAGCATGCATTTTAATCAGCAAAAATGCTAAGATGCTAACATGATTTGTAGTTAAAGGTGTAGGACTTGCTAACACAGTGGTATTATCCTTAAAACAGCATTTTCCAGTAAGATGTACAGTCAAAGAAGCATTGGTTAGAACCATAGAAAGGCTATTCCAGTGATTCCAGGACCAGTTATCACCTTTTAAATTAAAGTATAATGATTCAGGGCTTTGTGGCTGTCTTCATGTGAGGTTACCCTAAAAGTCACATTGTAATATTTATACTTCAACTTTTGCAGATAAACCGCAAGGGACAGATGAACAGCATGAGCCAGCTGTCACTCAGAGTAAGTGTCCATCAATCACACTTGCTGTAACTTGACGCAGCCCTTTGGAGAACGGACATTTAACATTTAAAGGGGCATTATGAAAAAGTAATCTGCCTCAGAAGAGAAACTCTACAAGGGGTAATTCAAGTCACTGTTATTCAGGGGCTGGGAGAAAACACACCATACTAGAGTAGTAGCATTAGCCTCATGTGTGAGTGTGGTGATGTTGACTGGTCCTGCTTAACTTGTTTCCTTCATGGCACTGGAATGCAGATCAAGAAACAGGATGTTTAATTTTGATGTCGTGAGATGAAAGGTCACATCGATCAACCAAAAGAAGAACCATCACCTTACCCAACTTCCTTCTGATCCATTTGGTGCTTTTTAGATATCAAATTTAGTTCGTTTTCAGTCAGTCATTCCAGATAAGGTGGTCATGGTTACTTACATGCCCTCACAAGCCCAGCATGGTCACTTGTCTACTGTCAATAACTGAGCACAGCAACTGAATGTTTAACAACAAGCTGCACCACAAAAACAAATGAGACACTGACTATAAAATGGACTGACGTTGAAGTTTATGGTCTACAAATATTTTCAAGTCTTAACGTCGACACGTTTGACTCCAAGTCCCTTCTTATTTTTTGGGAAACCAAACTAAAAAACTTGTTTATATTATTTCAAGCTCCCGTTCTGATATGGCCATGGTTTACAAAGTCTCTCCAGGGAATGGTAACAATGTTGTCTCTGGTTGTTTTGCAGGCACTGACACAGGATTAGAGCAAAATCCTGCTGAGGCAGCAGGCCTTACCACCACTCCACCAAGGATCCTTCACCTCCATCCCCCCATTCAGTTTATCTTCCCAGATTCAGGATATGTTCAGACTCTGAGGCTCTCTCCTCCAGTTATTGGTCTTCCACTCCTGCTTCCATTATTAGGTGAGTTAAATATTGACATACAGAGTTATTAGTTTTTAGGTAAATTACTAATTCACTCCAATACAACTGTAAAAAAAAAAAATCCTGTTTGTGAAGCTGAGAGGTTGATTGTAAATAGCAATTGAAACTCATCAAGCTCATTCTAAGATGTGTGCCCTAGATACAGATGTGATTAATAACCACAAAGCTATTATTAATATACTATTACGATTAGACAGTTACATGGTGGGTACAGAGATGGGTGAAACCTCCTTTAGCATAAGGCTGCAACATAACAAAATGTGAAAAGATTAAAAGGGTCTGAACATTTTCCAATTGCACTGTAATGTTGTCTCTGCAAAAGTACTTACTGTATGAAATATACGATACACGTTGTCTTGCCATACCTTGCCCCCTCATGAATGTCCATTTATTGCACATATATCAACAGTACACACTCTAACCTCTCTTTCTAATACAGTTCCTGCTGCCTCAACGCCTTGCAAACGTCAAGTGCAACCACCCTCCCCGGGTGAGTAAAAAAAAAAAAATATGTTAAGTTTTCTTATGGTTCCACATTTACTGTTTTAGTTCTGCCTTTTAAGCAATAACACGGAAACCACTCCCTACTTACATGCTGTAGTCTTTCTCCTATTGTGTTTGTAGTGGACGGTGCAGTAGCCCCAGTTCAAATGAGTTCATCGCCACCGGGATCCATGTCAGACACTGCTAGCAAAGCCATGCCTCCCCTTTGTAACTCACCTGGCTCCCCCAGTAATGGTGTGTATCAGTACCTGTTTTATTTCTTCCCCCATGTGCGTAAATTACCCAGTAGAGTTACTGCCATCTTATAAATATCACGACTTTGTTTCCTTTCAGAGATGTCCCCATGTAAAGAACCACCTCTACCTCAGTCCCCCACTGTCCTTGATATTCCACGTAAGTTACCACGTGCTTTAAATCATCTCTTCTGCTTCCATCTAAAATGTCCTCAAAGTATAAATCATATTTCGAGGAGGGCCAGCTTGGTATTCAATTGTGTTTCTTTTTCAGAGGTTGTCCAGGACTACATTCAGAAAGTCAAAGCCCACATGAGCCAAACTTGCCAGGATATGGAGGAGGGCCTTACCCTCAGCTCTCATTATGTAGATATGCAAGTGAGCCGGAGAGAGATTCTTCGCTCTGGAAAAAGTGCAAACAAATGCCTGGATAAGGAGCTCATCAACATGGGAGATACAGATCGGCAAAAAAGCTTGTTGAGGCAGAGTCAGGTAAGAGTTCTTTGATGAGAAAAAACAGTTGTCATCTAGTAATGTGATTTTTCAACACACACAAACTCAACACTATGAGGTTGAGTATTTTGATCTCTTTATATGACTTTATGTTGATGTTTTTCCCCTCAGATCTTCGAAGGCTCAAATGGAGATAAATCCAAACACTGCATATTGCTACTTGGAAATGCGGGCATGGGAAAAACCACCCTGATCAGGAAGCTGTGTCTTGACTGGTCCATAGACTGCATCCCACAGTTTGACTTTGTCTTCTTATTAGACGGCAAAGCGCTCACTTTAACCAAGCCGACCTTTAGCCTTCAGACCCTCCTGTTAAACCTTTCCTCTTTTGCCCCTTCCTGCATGGACCCCGAGGCAGTGTACGCTCAAATCCTTGCAGCCCCGAAGCGTGTGCTCATTGTTTTTGATGGGTTTGATCAGTTACGGGACTACGAAAGTCTACTCCAGACTCAAGAAAAAGACTTGATAGCATCGTTGCAGAAAGACAGTAAAGCACAGACCTACACAGTAAGACAGTTATACTCTGCCATCCTTCAGAGGGTGCTTCTTCCAGGATGCACGCTTCTCCTCGCTACACGGCCAAGAGGCACTGCCAGCCAGCTTCTGCGGCGGGCGGACAGCTTTCTGGAGGTATGTGGCTTTTCTCCCACAGATGTAGAGACATATTTGTCCCAGTACTTCACCGATCCTGCCCTCAGAGCGTCTGCTTTGGACTGGTTAAAAAACTGCACTTATCTACATCTCCTCTGCTGGAACCCTGGACTATGTCGGCTGGTGTGCTTGGTTTTGGAGCAGTCCAAAAGTTTGGAGGACCTACCGAGAACTTTAACCGGGCTCTGCCATCAAGTGCTTCGTTTGAAAATGGACAAGGACAATAGGAGCACACATTCGCAGGCTGAAGATCCAACACAAATATCTTTGCAGGCTGAAGATCCAACACAAATATCTTTGCAGGCTGAAGAAGAAACCCAGACACAAATCTCAAGTAATATTCAAACAAAAAGGTGTCACAAAAATACTCACAAGAGGTCCAGAGTACAGGTTCGCACTCGCTCTCGTACCCAAAGAACAAGGAGGGCAAAAGAGAAGGAGGAGGAGGAAAATGAAGTGGATGGAGAGGAGATGAACAGTGGTGGAAGGGAGGCAGATAGGACAGAGGAGAGAGAGTTGCTGTCCCAGCTGAGCTCTTTGGCCTGGGAGGGGGTCAAAGCCAACTCGTCCATCCTTCCCACAGGACGAACGTTATCTGACAAACTCAAAGCTTTCGGCCTCAGAATGAGGCTCTTCCTCTCTCACCCCCTGAGGACAAGACTGGTTGTGTTAAGTGGTGAAGGGAAGGAAGGAGGAACACAGGACAAGGACGAAGTGGGAGGAGGAGAGAAAGGAGACAGGAAGGGAAACAGAGTTGGGACGGAAATTAACAACGTTGATGCCAATGATGATTACATCGTGTTGTGGGCCAACCCTTTCCTTCAGAGTTACTTGGCAGGTGTCCATCTGTCTTTGTCGAGGTAAAAAATCAACAGTTTATCCGATAAAAACTGTTTTCTATGATGTTTCCATTAGAATAATACTGATAAAAAAGAATAAATTTACATGTGGTTGACTGTTCAATTGTACTGAAGAGCTTGATGGAGATTGAAATTAACTTTTAAGATTGCATAGTGTTCTAGCCTGTTTGAATTTCCCTAACCCACTCTCATTTCTGTTTCCCTAGGACTTTGTCAGACCGAAATTTCCTCCAGACTCTCCCTTTCCAGTCAGGCCCGAAGGGACGTCGACGACCTCAACGAGAGGAGCTCGAGCTCACTCAGCGATTTACAGTTGGCCTCCTTTTCCACAAAAGAACAGAGCTGCAGAGGCTTCACTCAAACACAGAGACATCCTTTAGAAACATGGTGGTCAACAAGCAGGCTTTAGTTACAAAACACCTTGAAGGTCTTTCTCATGGTGACCTGAGTCCAGCCCAGGTCCTGGAGGCATGTCATTATGTTTATGAAGCGAATTTCACGCACAGCGATGGAAGCGGAGGCACTGGCAGCTCACGATTGGTCACTCACCTGGCGGCGAATCTCCCAGAAGTCCTGACATTTCATGGAGTTCCACTCAACCCACCGGATGTCTTCACCCTGCAGAATGTTCTGGAAAGGGGTGGAACTGAAGGGAGAAGTTTCTGCTTGGATCTGGAGGATTCTGGGATACAGGTTTCTGGACTGAGGGCACTGGTGGGGCTCAAGAGCATCAACACATACAGGTACTGCTTACAGTCCAGATCTCAAAAAGCTGCTTGGAGTTCTCTAAACCCCCTACCCCAAAACATCCATTGTCCAGTCATTGCATAACAATCCTAATAAGGCACATCTTATCTGTTAAGATGTAGCAGGGGTGGGCGGGGCTTAATAAACAGTTATGTCATATTAAGTGCCCTGATTTTCTCAGCCAATGAATCCTTCATTAATGTTGATATGAAATGTCAGACCCTTTGAAAATTAACCTTTGCTTGCCCCCTCCACTAGGGCATGCATTGCTGATGTTATCACCCTGTGGGAGCAGCTGGAGCAGAGTGGTGAGGAGGGGCTCCTACGAGGGGCGGTGTCCAAGTTAAATATCCACCCTCTGAAAGCCACGCAGGTCTGTCATGTGGAGCACCTGGCAAAGCTGGTGAACATACATATGCACAAGAGGCTGACGGACAGGTAATATACCACACACACACACACACACACACACACACACACACACACACACACACACACACACACACNCCTGATTTTCTCAGCCAATGAATCCTTCATTAATGTTGATATGAAATGTCAGACCCTTTGAAAATTAACCTTTGCTTGCCCCCTCCACTAGGGCATGCATTGCTGATGTTATCACCCTGTGGGAGCAGCTGGAGCAGAGTGGTGAGGAGGGGCTCCTACGAGGGGCGGTGTCCAAGTTAAATATCCACCCTCTGAAAGCCACGCAGGTCTGTCATGTGGAGCACCTGGCAAAGCTGGTGAACATACATATGCACAAGAGGCTGACGGACAGGTAATATACCACACACACACACACACACACACACACACACACACACACACACACACACACACACACACACACACACACACACACACACACACACGCAGATACATCCAGTTGTACTTTGCAACAATATGTGTCTGGCTGTTGAAGTGTGCATTGTGTTTTACTTGTAGTTGCAGCCAATCAGATTCCATCCTGGCAGAGGGAGTGCCAGCAGTCAAAGAGCTACACAAGCTGGAGTTTGAGTAAGACATGGCATTTGAATTGATGATGATGATGATGATGATGATGATGATGATGATGATGATGATGATGATGATGATGATGATGATGATGATGATGATGTGTCTCTATAGGCTTGGTCCAGAGAAAGGTCCACTGGGTCTTCCCAAACTGTGGGAGCTCCTGCCAGGTCTACAGAACCTTCAGCACCTAGAGTAAGTAAACACACACCCTCACTTCTAGTTCTCTCTCAGTTGCAGTGTTTGTGTGTGCTGCTAGTGACAGTTGCTGTCTCTCTCTCTCTCTCTCTCTCTCTTTCCTTTCAGTCTAGAGAACAGTAAGATAGGGGACAAAGGTGCAGAGAAGCTGGCTGATGCGTTAGCCTCACTCTGTTCCCTGGAGATTCTCAAGTGAGTACAACTTCTTGACCCATCTGCTCATCTCATCCTAATTTTAATGTCCTCCCTGGCTGGTGTGATATGAAAAGCACAAAAAAAAAAATCATCTAGCTTTTGATATAGTGAGATCTTTAGGCATGTGTGTAAGTTTATGCTCTCTCCTTCTGGTTTCCAGTCTGTCACAGAATTGTATTGGAGACAACGGGGTGAAGAAACTGGCGTCCACGCTGAGTGATCTGCCCAAGCTGCACTGTTTGAGGTGAATAATGTACAAACACTTACACCTACTACACTTAAACAAAAATAACCACATTGACACATACTGTAAACCCACAGAATTTCACTTCCCTCCCCCTCCCTCCGTTTTTTCCAGTCTCTACAGTAATGTGATTTCTGACGAAGGGGCAGAGAGTTTAGCAGCCGTCCTCCCACACATGGCGTCTCTCACAGAGCTAGAGTAAGTCTGTGTATCTCACATTTTCAGTAGGCGTTTATGGCAGCTGTGTGTATTTATATATACAATGTCTGTTTGTCTGCTGCGACAACTCATTTATGACTCCATATGTCAAACATTCAGCACATGAGGTGATGTTAAAAGAGGAGCCACTGAAATATGATTAGATGCAGGTGGATGTTTGGAAGGAATTCAGCAGTGTGTAGAGAGATCAGTTGGGGTATCAGAAGAAACCATTAAAATCTAAACTTCTTTTCTTCTGCTTGACAGTGTGAAGTATAACAAGCTGACAGATGTCGGAGCCCAGAGCCTTGGAGCCAGTCTGAGAAAATGTCAAAAGATAAAGACTTTAAGGTGAGAAAACTGTGACAGTTTATGATCACCGTTGTGTCCCCTTCCTCCGGCTCATCTCGCCTAAAAAATTAAGCAAGATATTTCATTGCTCCACTGCCAAAACAAAAACTTAAATATTGTTATCTCATTTCTTTCCTATCAAGTCATTTTACTTCTTTTTTTTTAACTGTCCAAATATCATGTTTTCTCACCTTGTTTCCTCTTACTCTCATCTCATCTCAGGATGTGGAACCAGTGTATTCCATACGGAGTGTTTGAGCGTCTTCAGCAGCAGGACAGTCGGATCCTTTGGCATTAGAGCAATGTGAAACCTCTTTACTACAAGGCTATGAACTTTTTAAAAAAAAAAATTTTTATCATGCATCACAATGCATACACATTTACACTACACAATACATTTTCCAAAGCATGAATGCTTAAGAGCAAGAACGAACAGAGTATGAGGAAGAGAGTCATTTGCTGCTTTATTCAAACATTTATCTTGTGAGGTTCTTTCTAAGATTTCATTCAGTGTGAGAAATAATGAATCCTTTAGCGCCACCCAGTACTGCACACAGTGTAGGGGTGTGTGGTAATGCCAGAACAAATTGTAGAAGCACATTTGCACTATGATGTTTGCTAGTTTTTTATGTTACCAATTATAAATGTTTTTTTTTTCTGTCTGATATCATTTCCCAAGTGGTATTGAGTTCTGTATTTTTTTTTGTACACGTGTGTTCGTGGAAACAATGCCATATCTGTTTACATGTTTCCTGTGTCTGTACAGTTTAATAGGCTAACAGTCATCTGACACTTGTTTATAATTAAATGGTGTTATGCTGTCACCAGTCACATGTTTTCTGTCTGTTCCTTTTCACTAATCATTTCACTTGTTTATTAACTTCTTTTCACTTCCTTCCCAATAGGTTTCTGTTCTCTATTTTGATGGCAACCGACCTTTAACTCTTTATTCTTTCACTCTTCGTAGATGATGATTACAATATTTGATTTAAGGCTTTAAGCCATGTAGGTCAGATGGAACAGAGTTAGGACGGACTTTGATACTGAAGTAAAATAGGGGCAAAAACTAAAGTGTACTGACAACATAAATATTTGGTTATTACTAGTCGTGTTCCTTACAGTGACCTATGGTGTCTCTTGAGATTTACGTTACCCTTAAAGGGGGACTCCAAGAATTTTACATGTCTGTAAGTTTATAGCAGATAGTTACGCTGCATCACATCCGGTGTCATTTGTCAATCACAGACATTTTACAAAATATATCCTTAGCATTCTCTAACAAAACTGAGGACCAGAACATCCTGTCTGGGCTACTAGCGTTTTCCTTCAGCGAGCACCAGCGGTATCTGCGGTGCTCTGCTGCCCTCTTTTGGACAAAAGGTGGCTACAAAAGAACCGTCTGAGATGAACATATCCACTTCAAATGCATTCGTCTAATGCAGGATAATCCACAAATGCACAAATAAAGTGACAGTTAAATCAAGAGGCAAAAAGCTGGCATTCGCTCAAAGTTTATTAAATAGACACATTGGAAAATAAAACTCTGTTACGATCCATAGCTTATTACAGCATGTGCATGTCTGCAAAGCAGCAGATGTGGAGGGAGGACACAAGCAACTAGGTGAAGGTTATATGTTGAGGATGATGATGATGACACCCAACAAACCAAGCAAAGACTATGATCTGTCACAGTCCTTTTCAATGAATCAAGATGCTGTGAGCAGAGTGTTAACCAGAGCCTGGCCAATGCAGTGCGGCATCATGCCTGGGACATGGCACAAACAGTCTCACTTGCTACTGATTTCCCAGTACAGGGAGTGACTTTTGCATTACCAAACTCATCTGCTGACGTTAAGCTTTCGTTAAAAAAATAAGATATCAGCCTGTTACGTCGTCCATTTCCAGCATGACGCAGATCGATTACACACTTTCTCAAGTTTGTATTAACTATTCACTGTTAATCTACTGGAAGCCCTTGCCTGATTCTGACTATTTGATCAGATTTCATACAAGCATGTTTTTTTTTTTATATTGATATTGAAGAACATTAGTATCCTGAGCTTTAGAGTCATGTGGTCTTGTTTCAGAGGAATTTCTACCTTGCCAAAAATAGAATTATGGACATACTGATTTACACAAACAAATTCAAACATTGTAAATGTACCATAAAATATTGCTTAATGGCAGCCTTGATACAAAATGAAGAAGGAATTTGGTTATTAGCCATCAGTTATCCATATCGGTTGAACCAACTCTTGGAAAAACAGTCTTGCATGGATTAATGGATAATGGACGATTCAGATGGAGGAAATCTGTGCTGCATAATCAATGTGTTTAAGTGTCTTTTTTTTTACCTTCTTGAATTTCACTTTTTTTTTCTTTTGAAACCATTACATTATGTGGTAGCAGATAATTCACCTGGCTATGTTTAGTGAAGCATTTAAGCCGAGTCGGCAAAGTGTTGTTCGAAATGATATCAGAGCAGATGCACTGAGTACAGTTAGAGCACAGTCATGTTTGTGAAGGTTGTCTGGTGGAGCGTAATGTTCAAAACACTGGTGGTCAGGCAATGAAATTTTGGACTAAAACTTGATTAGAGTATGAAAAGTGCGAGTACAAATATTTCAACATGGTTTTCATCTCTACAGCTTTGGTTGTTTGGTGAAAAACAACCATAATGCAATGATTATTATGCATAAGTTGCTTATTCTGGTTGACAGGTATAGTATGCTATGAGAAAATACTGGTTCCTCTGTATTGCAATGTAAATCAATGTGTAGTTAATTAGCAGGGCTGTAAGTGCTCTTCACAGACCAACAGTATGTACAGAACTTTCAAGGCTTACAAATATCTAGTAAATCAAGTGAACTGTCCCTTTACTGACACGAGGGTTTTCTTCCACCCATCTACAACCAAATCTAGCCGACGGATGGTATAATTACCTGATTCTATGCAACACATCATTTGTTTAACCATTTAATTGCCCCGTTGCTTGAATCCAGTTTATTATTGCTGCCAAGAATACACATTTTATGAACTGAATTCTAAGTTCATAACAAAGTAAACAGAAGAAAGTGCGTTAAAGAATATTTTGACAACTAAAAATAAAAACAACACAACCAATATCATGCGTTGAGTCTTGTCTATGTGTCTACCACACATTTGTAGAATTATAACAACAAACATGTATGCAATAAACAGAGGATGAACATGTCAAATATCTTGAGGTTTTCTTCCGCATGAGGTTTGAGCCTTTGACATTACTCATACTGATATAATTTCGGCACATTTGGCCTGCTGTCATAACTAATCTAATCTATTATTGTTAATTGTGTAGTGGAAAACTAAATTTGCAAAAGACCCCAATTATCTAATGTGACATCGAGACATACTTAAAAACTTTCTGCATTACAGTGAAAGAGTGTGACAAGTGCAGTATGGTGTTCCTGATTTATAAGAGAGCTTTAAGAGTTTAGGGCTCCCCTGTATCCTATAGTTTCACAGCCTGTGTCCAGTGTCAGTGTTATATCTCGCAAGTTCCTGACTGTGCTCCTGAGAGTGTGTATATCCCCGAGGCACACATACAATATGGATGGCCTCAAAAGACACATTTTAAATCACACCTCTGGGATGCGTGAGCCTGCAAAGCAGCAATGCATTGTTTTCTGAAAACGTAAAAATTAAACAAATTGCTCTGTGAGTGATTAAGTTTGCAACAGACCTACAGTGCACATTGTTTTCCTGCACTTCACCAGTTCTTCTGAGATGTCTTACCACACTGGAACTGCAGTGGCAAGTGTATCATTTCATTTTCTTCTGCAGTCAGCCACCAGATCTTACAGTCTGGATAACTGGTGGGTGTAAATGCCAGGTTGCTGTATCTGAACTGGCTGCAATGGAGACAACCTGAAACATGCCCCACACCTCTGATATAATTCTATTTTTTTTTTTCTTCCATAGGGAACAGCTTTCTCTCTCCACCTGCAGCACATTGTGCTTCCTTTTTATCGTCTATTGTGTCCACAGTGAGGGACACAGATGTCAGTGCGACCCCCCTAGTGTCCAACCAGAGTCAAATGCTATTAGACTGGCAACACATTGACTGACAGCTGATCCAGCACAGAGTGCTCTTTCCATGGGACAGTCGCTCATCATGCGGCCGGCGGTGCAGGATGTCTTCCTCAGGCTACCTTCTTTTGAGCCGAGACAACCTCGAGACATGGACACACAAGTGTTACTGATAGTCACAAAAAAACATGCTTTGGAAAAGGCTTCTACAGATGTTAAAACATAACATAAAAATGGTTGAGCTTTCTGGATAAAATTGTTTTTATTATCAGGTGTTTGTATCAACATCTGTTTGCCCTGTAAATTAACCACTGGGTTTACTACATAAGATTTGAATCTCAGCAACGTATTCTGAGCATGAAACAGAAAAAAAAACAAGTCATGAAAAACATAACTTCTTTCTTGCTTTGCTTACTTTTTCACCGATGTGTCTGTGTGACAGAAAGGCAACAACAGCATCCGATTGGAAGGATTTTTTCCCCACATCACTGACCAGGGAGTGTTCACGCTGGCCCAACCTGCGCCGGACCTCTGCATCACCACCACCACCTCCTCCAAAAATGTCTTTTTCTTTCTCCGGGACGGCCTTGTCATTCAAGATAGCCTTCAAACACATCCAGCTCCGTGTCCGTGTCATAAGGGACAGAGGCAGGGTCGGACAGCACCCCGAGGTCCACCAGTGCCTGGTCCATGTCCTCAGGCAGAAATACTATCCCCACATTCAGGACGATGTACTCCATCAGAAAGGCATAGTAGAGGATCAAGACGTTCACAAAGAACAAGCCCAGATAAAACATATATGGAAGATCGTCCAAGAGCGATTCCACCGAATCTAGCTGGGCATAAATTTGGTGTGTCATAGAAAACAAAGACAGCCACGGTTTGAGTTCTGGGGATTGTGCGAGGCCAGGATGTGGCGGACTCGAGTTTCTGGTGTCACCGCTAAAAATCTGTCTGGGGTGATGGGGCTGGGGCGTCCATTTCGCCTAGTCCCGACCTGCAAACAATGTTTGAGGCGCAACTACTGAGTGGTTTCTATCTGTAGGGTCCAGAGGAAAACCACAAGAAAAGAGATACACTTGAGGGATTAATGTTCATAGCTAATAATACCGACGGACAGTATCAAAATATCACGTTAGCTAGCTCAACGCATTCTTGACATTGGTTTCTTGGGTTTGCGGAATTCACGCCTTGCCAACTGGCTAGGGCTAAAAACAGTGACATGCAATGCTAGCATAAACAAACGCGAACATTTCTGGAAGCAAAGTACTCTTGTGAGTTTTCTTGTATACTCATCCGCACCTGGAAAAGCATTCATAAATACACGCTTCTGGCGATGTTTCCACAGCTAAAGGTCCCTTATAACATTTTTGCCAACTGCATCAAAACACTCCTGACGACAAAGCGACAACTGAATCCTCGGCATGGGATTGGCTCACCGCTTAGCAGGCTCTCCTGTGATTGGCCTTTAACGATATCAATCAACATACTGAGCTCCACCCCCTCCCCTTGCAGGATGGGTCGCGTGCTTTATTCGTCACTGCTAACGTGAGAAATTAATGTTGTAGTTTTTTCCACTTGCTCTTGTGCGCCATATTAAGTGTCTGGTGTAAGGAAAGAACTACAACTCCCAAATAACCCATCTATTGAAGCTGTTACGTAATGCCCCCCCCATCAGCGCTGCTATCGCCGCCTATCACCTTCTGTTTGCTAAGTAGCTATCTGTACGGGAAAGTGGGTGTAATGGATAGATGCGGACACTAACCTTAGCGAAATAACGCGCCTGGCAAAACATTAGCCCCTTTAAAACCACAACCATGTTTGGTCGGTCACGGAGTTGGGTTGGAGGACAGGGGAGAACGAAAAACATCCACTCCTTGGACCATCTGAAGTGAGTAGCTAGCATTAGATAAGCTAACGTTAGCCTGTATGATACCCGGCTGAGAGCAACTGTCAGAGGTAACATTAGCTCAGTTATTAACAGCTAAAACAACAGCAGCTAACTAACCGTAACTGTCCAGAGGTCCAGTCAGCTATAATTGCCTCTCCTGGCTGTGGCACCCCTATTCTGTTTGATAACGTAGATAGGCATGTGAGCTAGCTTGTAATTGTTAGCTTTACAGTGTAAATCCACCCTAAAACTGAACTGCTGTCCCACACCCCAACAGGTGCACCAAAGTAACAAGAGAGTGGGGTGGATGTCAGGCACACTCAGTCTGCACATGCCCACAGAGTCCTGAGGTCTAACTAGGCCGAATAACTAGAAATACTTGTGTGGGTGTACATTGTAGGGGCTTTCGTCTGGTGGTAAATACATTACGCTATTTGGAGATAATCCATCGACTCAAAATTAGAGGCCATATTTATGGGGTCATGGCAATTGTTTTTACAACCAGATGAGTTTCATTTTAATGCAATGTCTACAATTGTCAATTAGACAATTTCTCTGCAATTTGTCTTTCCACTGATAGGTTTAAAGACAAATTTTTACATATTCACAAATTAAAACTGAAATGTACATTTACCACTTTCTTCCTCACATTGTCTCTTCACACATGTCTCTCCATCAGGTATATGTACCATGTCCTGACCAAAAACACCACAGTAACAGACCACAACCGAAATCTATTGGTGGAGACCATCCGCTCCATCACAGAGATCCTCATCTGGGGGGACCAGAATGACAGCTCTGTGTTTGAGTAAGTCCCAGTCAATGTCCTCATATCAAACCCCTCAGATTTGACATAAAGTGCAGATGTGATGTACATGGGAATTAAAGTGACAGCTTTGTATTTACTTGCAATATCTTTTCATGTAGAGATGGTTTGTTAATTGTGTTTATAACCTCACACCTATGCATTTGAACAGATGTACACTCGTAAACTAATGAACAGTGCATTTGTCTTGATGCAACGTCTTGATGTCAGCTACGGAAGATTGCTCCTCATTGATTTTTACAAATAATTTTTGATCAGCTGACCTGGAAATCTTTGAACAAACAAACTTTGACTTGGAAACCCACCATTGCAACTAACAAAAATGGATAATCATACTCCACTTTAATCTCAATGGTAATTTTAGAGTTCTACCCCCACCTTCTTTCTCTATAGCAACATTGCTAAGAACCAAGCCACTACGCTGTCCTTCTCTCTGACTGCAAACCATTCAAAGCTAAGCAAAACAGTGTGTGTATCAAAGACAGTTCTGCTTTGCTTCCTGTCATGCTGACTCTGCACACAGTAAAAGAGTGTAAAAACGTTTTGTGCTCTTAAGATGCAGTTTTACTTTTCAAGAGATGACTCTATTACTCTTGAAATACGTTTCAAATCATTAGCTGCTCAAGCATTTCAAGAGTTTCTTGGGAAACCATAGTGTTTTGTTCTTAATCAGAAGTAGCCATGTCTGGCTTTATAATCTCAAACAGGAAACAGCTTTGAAGAGCAGAAAAGAGCAGAAAAGCCACAGAGGATGTTGGTGCTATCAGGAAACCCTTACAATAAACATAGACATTAATGGTCCCTTATAATTTTCTAGACTAGGAGCTATTTGATATTTTGTTTCATTGCCTATAGAACTTAACAGTTTTTTTCAGAGTTGAACTGAGATGTCGTGTTATATGTCATGATCATGATGCAGTAGAAGAGAAGCATTCTTTATTTTGAATTGTAAATTATAACTATATATTTCCAGATCAAGTCATGATCAATCCTGTGTGTGTTTGTGTGTGCACTCCTGCATGTGTTCAGCTTCTTCCTGGAGAAGAACATGTTTGCCTTCTTCCTGAACATCCTACGTCAGAAGTCGGGACGCTACGTCTGCGTCCAGCTCCTCCAGACCCTCAACATTCTGTTTGAGAACATCAGCCATGAGACGTCATTATGTAAGCCTTTGGTTCTACACTGATCGACTGAAAAAATGAAAGTATGATGTATTGCAATGCAGTAAACTAGCCCTGCAAAAAATCCAAACATTTTTTGAGAGTATTTTTTTAAGACTACTGCTTTACTTGGTATGTTTTGAGGCTGTGTTAGTTTTATGAACACTTTTCAATATAATGCACCACCATTATGTGTTATTTATTGTATAGTTTTTCTAGTGTGTAGTGTGTGTAGATGTTTTCGTGCATGTTTTTTGATGAGTTATGCAAGCTGAACAATGCAAGGCGGGTTACACTGCCTTTCTTTGTTGAAATATACAATGCATAGCAGCCTGCAGCATTTTTTGTTGTTGCTGGATAACGGACGACTCAGCAGATGATATACTGTCATTTATACAGTGGGCTGATATCTTTTATAAAGTGAGCAAGGTTTGAATTTCGATAAATTGTAGATGCGCTCCATAGTAATATTGTGTCAACAGGAATAACATTCACTGTATACAGAAGTTCGAGCTCATCATTGATATAATAACAGTAGAGCAAAAATGAAACAAGCATAGTGAAGCTATCCAGTCTCAGCTGTAGATGCTTAGTGTGTTCCCTTACAAACGTCTTCCATTGCTAGAACGTTTTCCATGTGAACAAGCCTGATCAGGTTGTTTATTAACCTCTCCTCTCCTCTCCTGCTCAGATTACCTCCTATCGAACAACCACGTGAACTCCATCATCGTCCACAAGTTTGACTTCTCAGACGAGGAGATCATGGCCTACTATATCTCCTTCCTCAAGACCCTGTCACTCAAACTCAACAACCACACGGTGCACTTCTTCTACAATGAGGTGAGGCCTCGATGAGGTGAGGGATGGGGTGTAAGAGTGAAGAAAGAGGGATGGAAAGGATGGTGAAACATAGAGGATCTATCATTCAGTATCAACAACCCTTACTGTGCACACTATGTGAAAAAGAGGAAGGAAGGAAGAGATGAAAGGTGAGATGAGTGGCTGAGAATGAAGAGAGTTAGTGATTGAACCGATAAGTAAAAGTAAAAGATAAATGAGGAGGCTGTTACTGAAACTGTGCAACTTTAATACTATTGATATCTCAAAGTTGCATAAAATTATTTTATGTACAGCATTGTTGTGTCCCAAAAAATCTACATCCAGTCAATAGGTAAAAAGAAATCCAGATGTTCATCTTTCACTTGAATTTTGTGCCAGTCCTGCTTGTACTTATCAGGCTACAACCATCTGCCAGTCGTGGTCAGGCTGCACATTTCCTATGTCAAAACTTCAGCTTCCTGTAACGATTGGTTGATCATGCAGATCGTGTGCACAACAGGCGTCTTTCTCTGCTTTAGCTGATACAAACAAATAAGTGTTGATGTTGCCTTCATTTGAGGGAATGTTTTATTTATTATAGTAAAGCCAAGGAATGGCCATTGTGTTCACAACAAGACCTTGTTTCTCTTAAATGGAGTTTCAAAGCTGTTATTATTCTTTATTCAAAAAATATATAATATCATCATCAATTGTGTGTGTTTGTGGTAATGGATGGTAATGCCAAAGGCTACTGAACACCTGAATAATCCCGGATGATGTTGCCCTTCATTGTTTCAGCAGTATCTGTTTTCCTTTTATTGGCCTGTGTGTGCTGGGGAAAGTTATTGGTGTACTGTCGATGGTAGCTTTACACCTGAAGCCAAAACCAGACCCAATGTGTAGATCTGAGAACCTGTGTAGTTAAATCATCTATAATATTTGTTTTGATTGATGTTCATAATTTACTTTATGTTATTTATTTCTGGATATAGAATCTTACAGGATAGGTTCATACTTTTGTTGTCTTAACACAATTCTCACATATATTGAAACAGTTTGTGCCTGCTGTAATCATTCCTCCTGTCCTGTTGTTAAAAGATCACTTCCTGACATACCCCCAATGAGAGAGATGTAGATGGTAGAGAAAAGTTATAATTTAGTTTTATACAGAACAAAAACTTTGGATTTTGTCAGCCTTCACTTACATTAGAAGCACGTTACGAATAGATCTCCATGTAGCCAGAATCAACAGGAGGAATGATTACGGCAAGCTAAAACTGCTTCAGTCTACATACAGTATGGGCACCTGACTATTGTTTTAGGACAGACTTGATAAATGTAAGAAACTAAGCTGGTATTAGCCAGTCTGACAGTAAAACTCTTTTAAAATGCCAGTGAAAGTCATCACAACCTTTTCTTTCTTCAAAATTTACCATAGCAACAGGTCATATTTATAATTCATCTCTCACTTCATTTATTATAATGAATTTATAAGTTGGTGATTTATTGTTTGTTACCCTCCAGAGGGCGCCATTGGATAGTTGTTGAATTTGGTCTCTTCTGTTCCTGTCAGATCTACACATGTCACATATAAAATTAGAGTGGGTTTGGGTTCGGTGTCAGGGTCAGGGTCAGATTTCTTCATTTGCTGTGACCTCAGGGTGACTGTTTACTCTCTGACCCTCAACTGTGAATGGTTGGAGGTCGCAGTGACTGAGGAATGGTTGGGTAGAGGATCGGGCACTGGCACAGAGAGAGATGACTGTAAGATGCAGAGTTGCCGGTTCATCATACCCAGATTTACTAAATGCAGCATTCTGGTATGTTAATACATGATGACCACTGTCGCTATTAGATTGTTTGGAACAAATGTCCCTTTACATTTACTCATCAGACGCTTTTAATCCAAAGTGACTTTTACTTGAAACCAATAATTTATAAAAAATGCAAATTCTTTAATGAGTCAGACATTCATGATGAATTCTGTAGGATTTGTATTGGTCCACAAGCTTCGGTCTTCTTTATTATCATGTGGTCTTACACTAATTCTCTAACACATCAGATTGACTTTGACTTTTATTATTTGCCCAGTCTGTATTTTTGTGCAAAATAATTAAGCCCTTTCTTATTAAAATGCTACACTGCCCACATGGCAGCCTACGTGCTCTCTCTCTCCCTGACTGTTTGTGGCCTGAGCCCCGGCGGCGCAATGCTGTGCCTTGCTCACCGGCGCCCCCTCTCTGTCTCCCACACACAGCACACTAATGACTTTGCCCTGTACACCGAGGCCATTAAGTTTTTCAACCACCCTGAAAGCATGGTCCGCATCGCAGTCCGCACCATCACACTCAACGTCTACAAAGGTGAGTGCCAGGAACTCGCATGCGCACATGCTAACCATGCACACACGTACGCATACACACACGCACACACACTCACTCATGGGATGTTGAGACTGCCTGCCGTCTCTCTTTGTACTCTCTTCTTCTTGCTGCTGCTTCTGGTGCATGAGCATGACTAACAGGTAACGCTGTGACAAACACACACAAGTACACAGTCTGCCTTCTACTGTAAGTGATAAAACATCAGTCTGAATAAAAGAGAATATAATGTAGTCCAAATATTACCTTTTAATGTATCATTTAACACTTTTTCTTAAGTTTTCCAGAGGTCCTGCAACTAATCTGTTCATATTTACAGCACTGTATTTAGAGTCAAAGAATTTCAAATGTCTCAAGTGTTTCTTGTTTTTTACTGCAGTACATCTGCCATAAGGTAGAGTGATATCCCAGACAGCAGGTCTACAACACAGACTGGAAATTCAGTAAATATTTGCTTATAACTCGACAGATGAAAGCTGTTAACCCCTAACACTCATCTGAAATGGCAGAGTTATATAAAATATGTAGAAATATTTACAATTCATTCAGATTCTCGAGATCTTGTACGCACAAGCCACTCACTTTTTCGTCATTATATCAGTAACATCTGCTTTTTGTTTAAACATTTTCCCTTGCTTCTGTGTGCAGTCATAAGGATATTCACCCATAATTGTTTTTTTTAAGTTTACTCACAAATCACAGCTGCAATCTATTGATTGTCTTGTCATTATGATCTTCTCTTGTATTATTCTTGTTAACTCCTGCTAAGTTACTGTCATTACTTTTATACTTATGTCATAAGATTGAGATGTGGTTAGTCCTTTATTTTTCCCACACTGGGGAAATTTGCAGTCATACAGCAGCAAAGTGGACAGTACAAAATATCAAATACTAAAAATTAAAAAAAGATAAATAATAGATAATGATGTTCAAGTCAAATATTTAAATAAATCAAGAATAGCTGAAATTTATTGCAGTTGGTGTATGTTAGTTATTGCACATGGTGAGTTCGTCAGACATAATGAATTCAGAAGTTAGTTTGTCATAATCCAACCACATATAAATCAGCAGGCATGTTTTTTTTTTGCTAGTATAGCATAACCGCAAGGTTCAGCATCACCGCTTCACTGATCTCACATTCACATATCTACAAACTGGAAATGAGCTAATTCTTTAGCAACACTAGCCAGCATGCCAATGGTGAAATCCTCTCACCAGTAAATCTGTTGGGCATTAGCACTGCAAGTATTTCAAGCTACAGTAAATGTTGAGTCTGCAGAATGCAGCAGCAGTACAGCAGTGACGCTGTGGGTCCGTAAACAGCAGGACGGTTCCGATGGCTGCGTCGCTTTGTGCGCTGTGCTGTGTCAGCCTCTGCTTCTCCTTCCTGCCACCTCTCTGCGCTCCTCGAGGCCTCGGAGCTGGTTGCTGTCACTGCTGGGGAGGCGGGTGGTGCTTTGGATGGGTTTCCTCTCACATCACGCTTCTCTTCACTATATATAACATAACATTGCCCCAACATACAGTCACTGCAGCACATCAACTACGGCTTCCTGTCTGTCTATGTACTTGAATGTCTCGTTTTGCATGTAACACTTACTGTACTGTACAACCTCGGTTTCTTACATTGTCCATAAAGTCTTGACTCTGTTACTCCCAAAAGTGACGTCATTACATTTGGCACAACTGACTTTTACCACAGTAGAAATACAAGTCATTAATGAAATAACTTAGTGGTGTGGGGAATACTGTATATCATTGCTGGGTTGGCCATTGGCTATGCTATAATAAGGAATCTGTCTAAGAGGGAAGCATCAACTCACTGCGGCAACCCTGACTGGTGGTAAAGGATACTACACTGCTGAAATGTAGAATATTAATTACATTGTGATTTTATGCAAGTGAAAGTCAAGGGAAGTTTATTTTTATAGTGCAGTTGGAAGTGCTATACAGAAGATAAAAAGACATACAGATATAAAAGCTCTGATTTATTGTGGGGAAAAGTATTAAAATAATCATGGAAAAATAATTAATCTTTTTTTAAAATTAATCCATGATGTTTTTGGCATCATAATGTTAAACATGTCACTGTTTGATGCTTCCTACTGATTCCTTGGGACATTGCACTGCAACAAATGACAACCTGGAAAAGGATTTTATTCAGCATCGAGACTAATTAAGAGAGTGTCAATATATTTCAGTCCAGTTATGTTACTGCATTAGGTTTTTATTTCTGGTAATGTTACTTGTTTAATGGCACTTCCATGGTGCAGTGATTAAACGGTATTTGAGAGGGTTTCATGTGTTAAGATGTCAAACATAATCAGCTTTCTTTTGTTTCGTGTTGACATTTTACAAAGAAAATACATTGCAAAAATTCTGAAATAAGTGCAAGCGTCACAGTGACATACGTATATATTCCTTTTCCTTGTGTGCCATTGTTTGCAGTTTGTTTGGTAAAAGATTACCTGTCAAGGGCGTCTTCCAGAGAGCGAGACCAACACCCCCCTCCCTCCCGCCCGTGCCAATACCCACGCAGCCCACCCCTTTACTCACATTAACCCTGTGTCTGTTTCCCCCCCCCTCTCCCTCCTCCTCTTCAACAACCACTCCTCCTACTCTCCCTCTCCTTGTCTCTCTCCTCCTCCTCCCTCCTCCCTCTGCGCGCCCCATCTGCCTAACTCCAGTTTCATGTAAGTTGGTTCCATTCATTCAGTCTTTATCTTAGGGCTGGGTATTGTAAAAACATGTTTTGTTGTTATTTTCTTCATACCTTCACCTGTGGTCCATACAGTACATCGATGAAGATACAATTCTACATTAGCCTATACACCTGTGATGTCAGTGTTTTTCTAAGTCGGCTGATTAAATATCAGTTGGCGTTAATAGGAGCATTGTCATATGGACTGATTTTAATGCCTCCAATTGAAAGTTATTACAAAAGTTGGTTTAAAATGAGTTATTATTAAGCATCACATGTCTGTTTGTTGATACCCAGCCCTATTTGTTCCTAATGGTGTATTTGTTATAAATGTACTGGTATGAATATCCTTGCAATTCTTGTTCTTGTAGACCATTCTGTATCAGCCACCTACATACATGCAGAAAAACCTGCATGCCTTTTTAATTTGGTTTTTCTTGGGTTCATTTTTCCACAGACTTAAATTCAGCTGAGCCCCACATGTTGCTTGTTATTTTGGTGATGGATTTGACAGTTTTGGTCACTGTGGTCACTGAGCCAGTATCTCCCTCTGCATCAATTCTCAGTTCATCCTCCAATGGATTAAGCTGGAATGACACTGTGACTCTGAGTAGTGGCAGCTTGTGATTTGTCCATTTGTTTTCTGATATTATGTAATTCAATTAATTTGATTCGGCTGCTCATTTGTTACTTGTCTCCGTTTGACCTGTGTAGCATTGTGAAATTACAACCAGCTTTTATTTGCAGTTGAAAGTGTCACTGCACCAGGGCTCTTCACAGTTCAAGTCAGTTAAGCTGCCAGTCACAGAACGCAAGTGTCAGAATCTGGTTCTCAGATGTCTCCTGTGATTGTCAACACTTTCTGGTTTTCCCTGAGTTGCCCTGTGTGTTAAACTAAAGTCGGCTCTTAGTCCAGACAGATTAAAGAAACGCACTGAACTATACATGTCTCAGATTTTTCTGCTCTGTAGTTTTACTTTCATAAATGTTCTTGCAGTGTGTCTTGCAGGGATTACTACTTGCTACTAACATTGACACCTTTGCAAAAACAACAAATTTGGCCTGTTGATATTAGGCCTTTTAATACTGTAGACCTTTGTGCAGCGTTCACCTTTGCACCTGTGTGATTTTATTTCATTTTTTTTATATTACAATATGACCAATCTTGTGAATCTTAATACAACTAGTGAAGTTTTTACTGTTACTAATATAGGACTAAATCTGGCTTAGATCTTTCTCCTGTCTAAGGACAGCTCTGTTTAAGAAATCATCAGTGGGTTTGACGTGCTGGTGAGCGTAGGCTTAGATCACAGGCAAGGAAAAATCAGTTGGTAAAACACTTGTCTAATACAGGGTGAGAAGCCCGAGTCACGCTGGTCAAGCTGTTGTTTCAATTTAAAAGCAGACTGGCTTTCCTCTTAATCCCACTCCACTGGTATTCCCTTTTATTTTGTATCAAAAAATTGGATTGACCCAACCAATTCCTGTATTTAATTTGCCCTCATGTGCTTTGTTAATTTTATTAATTTGCCTCTTAATTTAACTGTCACATTCTGGTAATTCTCTGGGATCACTAAGAGTGTGTATATATGAGTATGTCTGAGTGTGTATGTGTATCTGTATTCGACACCATGGGCAGCTTTGGTAACACCTTCTCTCCCTGACCCTCCTCTCTCCAGTGGACAACCAGCACATGCTGCACTACATCCGAGATAAGACAGCAGTCCCATATTTCAGCAACTTGGTGTGGTTCATTGGCAGCCATGTCATCGAACTGGACAAGTGTGTGCAGACAGATGAGGAGTGAGTGCCATCTATCCATCTATCTATCCATCTATCTTTCTCAGTGTTTCTCAGTGTGATTCTCACTGCAGCCTCTAGGGGTCAGGGCTGTCTCTTGTTTTATGCTGGTGCACATTAGATGACATTAAAATACAAGGGCACGGTGTATGATTGTATATTAGTTGATTGTATAAACTGCATTATTATATAGCTTTACTTATATTGTTGGCCATTTATTTTCTATTCGTCGTGAAATCATTCAATATAGACTTAATTTCCTCTTATGCAGATTTAAAGTTAGAAAAATCTATTTTGTATATCTGCATCTATTTTGTATATCTGCATGTACATCATGATTCCATTTTATTGTTATAGCTTCACTGTTACATTCTCTCTCTCTCTCTCTCTCTCTCTCTCTCTCTCTCTCTCGTGTCCCAGACATAAGAACAGGGGGAAGTTAAGTGACCTGGTAGCAGAGCACCTTGACCACCTCCACTACCTGAATGACATCCTCATTATCAACTGTGAATTCCTTAATGACGTTTTGACGGACCACCTCCTTAACCGTCTGTTCTTGCCCCTCTATGTGTACTCTTTGGTGATCCCCGAGACGGTGCGTTACCCTCATGTGCATGTGTCTAGATGAATTGTGTTACACTGATGTCAATAGCAGAAAGCCTTTGAGGTGTCAAAGACATTCATTTCTAGACCTTGTTAATACAGACTTCTTAGTAAATGACGTGTAATAACACATTGGTGTGTATGTGTTTCTCCATAAGCTAATGTGTTAAACACACGTCAGAGAAAGTGTGTCTTGATGTGTCAACTATTTTTTTTTTTTTTTTTTTTTTTCACATGTGACTTTTTTAAAGCCCATTTGAGGCTGCAACTAATGATTGTTTCCACTGTTGATTAATGTGGTGATTATTTTCAGAAAAAATCACTTTCAGAAAAGGGAGTGAAAGTGAAAAAGGCCACACTATAAGGTGACTTCTTGAAATTACTTCTTTTGATACAGCAGCAGTCAAAATCCCGAAGATACTTCATTTACAATGATATAAAACAAACAAAAGCAGTCAATTACATTTGAGAGAGTGGACCCAATGGATGTTTGTCATTTTGCTTGATGAATGACTTCAAGGACCATACCAGTAGTTGTCCCGTATGTGCTTACAACTTACTCCACAATGCTGACATCCATTTCCCAGTTCATGGAGATGACGCTGTAGTTTTTAAATGCGTTTTCCCGAACTTCCATGGGCCCACTGGTTTCACTTCATTTTAGCACACTATCGAAATCAACTTGCAGTGCCTCGAAACGTTCTCAACAGAGCTGATGCATCATAATGAAACTGGTTTTCATTAGTTACTTTGTTATAATAATGTTAAAATCATTGAGTCTTTCCTCATGGTGCGTTCACATGCTAAAGTGATGACAGATGTTTGCCATTCAGGTCAACATAGCATTGCATTTATAAGGTATGATCTCTGGAAACTGAACAGGGATTGCAAATAATTATCAGACATGAATGTCATAAAAACCTTTTACAGTGCATTACATTGAATGGTCTACAAAAATTATTTGGCTGACCTCACATAGTAACACATTTTTAGCTACTCAACAGTACATAAATGTACGTATGTGACCTTGACTGGCCTTTATTTTTTCTGTTTTTTCAGTCCGAGGAGCGAAAAATCAACCCTCAGGTGTCCCTCTACCTGCTGTCTCAAGTAAGCAACACACACAAATAGATCAAACACTTTCTGCCGCAGGTTTGTTCCAATGATATGGTTTTACATTGCTCAGAATGTATTTTCAGGCCGAGTTATTAACTTTGCTGTATGTTTTCTCACATTGTCTATACGACATTTCATTTTCAGTTTAAGGTTCTTGTTTTAGAATTTTTTCTGACACAGTTAAGACAAGTAATTCAAGCTTGTCTGTGTGCTTTCCAGGTGTTCCTGATCATCCACTATCAGCCACTGGTCAACGCCCTGGCCGACGTTATTCTAAACGGGGACCTGTCTGTCTTCACCCCACAGACAGACATACACAGCACACATAAGAACACGGTAAAACACACACACAAGTACACACTTAGAAAAAACAACTTCAAACAAGCTTAATAACACATTGTACAGACCATCATGCAAAGAAACACAATAATATCTGGCACACACACACACACACACACACACACCCACACACCCACACACCCACACACACCCACACACCCACACACACACAGCCAACTGCACATTGTGATATAGACTCCCACCACAAAGAAGCAACACACACTCATACGCTGGGAGTACATCACAAACTAACCCTAACCCAAACAAGAAATGCACACAAGTACACCTACGCCAGAAACCGCATGGATACATGCATGCACGCATGTGCATGCATAAGCATACACACACTAAGAGGAGTTCCAGAAGTGCGTGTAGGTGGTTATGAGATCGCGGGGTCATGGTTTTCTCCATGATTCACCCACATCAAGGCAGCAATATGCAAATTACTGACATTGTTTTTTCATCTTTCCATTATTAAAACACTATCTTCCTCAAGTCCAGCTTCTCTTCTGTCCATGCCGTGGATTGAAACATTCTGTCTGCTTTTTCCTCTCTGTTTTCTAACATCTTTCTCTGAATGTCCCTTTTTATCTACGTTTGTGTCCTCTCCCCCTTCCTACCCCTTACCTTCCCCATCTGAGTCCCCTCACCTCTCATTTCTTTAACTGTCTCCTCCCATTTTTCTCTCCTCCCGTGATTCAGTTTCTCTTCCCTCATCCCCCCTCCTCTGCTTCTTGATTTTTTTGACCATCTGTGTGTAAAGCCAGGTGGGTGTACTGAAGTAGTGAGCGTTTCTGAGAATCATTGTGGTTATTCTCTGTGCTGAGTGTGTATGTGCTTATGTATGTGCGTGTCCTAGACCTGTAGCTGTTGTAAGAAGCAGCCTACCTTTTCAGTGAATGTGAGGTGAGGTGTGATGTCTTGGCGATGTTGGCCTACCACAACAGGAGGCTGCCAGATCCAGACTAGTGCGTGCCAGCTATTCACTCAGCAGTGCTTGTCTCTGCATTTTGTGGATGTTAAAGGTGCCATGTTGCATTTGTAACCATTACTGTAGCAGTTTTAGAAAGATTAGAGAAGAAGTACACAGAAGCCATGAATTTTAGGAAATAGACTTGAGATTGTTTCAGTCATGGTTTTCTTGGTATAGCTAATCCTGCTCATTTTTCTACATTAGTTCCTGTGTCTTTTCACCTTATTTGTTCTTTACTGCTTTTCTGCCAAGCAGCCTGCGTAGAGACTTTGATGGTTTGACTTCCTCAAAGGAAAAACAACATTTAACAGGAGCCATAAGTTAACTCGAATGATTCCTTTTCTCCGTTTAGGAGCCACATAAGGTTTTCTCATTGTCTGTTTTTGTGTTCATTGCTTGCATATGCTCATACATCATACATACATTCATGCTGCGTTCACTTGCATGCATAGTTCATGTGGGCAACAGGTTCACTTGCATTAGTGCAAAATTTCTTGTGAAAAAAAAAACAAATGACAGTTCCTGGTGATGGTGAGATTTTTTACTGTGTGATTTCTGTGTTGTGTTCGCCACATCAGATAGAAGTGCTGTTCTGTTATTGTTTGATTTATTGTAGATGAAACAGATGAGGCATGGGTGCTGTTTCTGCGCAGGTGGTCAAATGGCACTTCCTGTTTGTCTGTGATGTGGCAGGAAATTAGATCACATGATGGAACACTGAGCTGGCTCACCTAACCCAGATCTCTTTCCTGGAAGAAGTGGTTTTTTTCTCTCTCTCTCTTTCGTATATGTGTTTACTTGCAAGTGCACCAGTTACTTATATGATGTCAACATTTGCATGTGTGCACCACAATCTTTTTTTTCTTTTTCTTTTTTTTTTTACCCCCAAATTACATTCAACTGTTTTTAGTTGTATGCATTTAAAGTTTATCTTTGACCTGCAAATGGTTCCCTATTTTGATGTACTACCAGGTGTGTTTGTGCAGGGGTTTGCCTGAGCATGTGTGTGTAGGTTTGTCTTACATGCTCCCTGACCTCCATTAATTTCTCAGCATTGGCTCAGAGTGTGAGCGGTTTACCAGAACATAGTTAGCTAACAGGTGCAACACACACACACACACACACTGATACTAGTCTGTGGTTTATGTCTGACAGCATACACACTGTTTTCAGCAGCAGCTACAGTACAGTCCTGCTCAGACGTACCTAGTGATACAGAGAGATGATACAGATGTCTATGTTTTTAGAGTGTGGCTGGCTGGCTATTAGCCAAAAGACTTCTAGTTCTTCTTCTAGTTGTCAAAATTAGTTTGCTAAGTCTTTTCTTGTAACTTTATTAGGCTTCCGAATAATAATCTGAAATTAGGATTGACCTAGTCTGAGCCACAAACCATTAAGACATATTTGTATATTTGACAACCACTTATTATTATTCACAGACTTATTAAAGAATATTTCTGTGAATACTTCTCTAGAGACTGAGCTGAACCTTTAAATGAGTTCTTTAGTGTTTGTTCCTTTCAAGACAAAGAGGAGCACAAGGGGTTGTGTAATGTAAGGTAACTTTTGGTTTTGATTCAGGTGGCACACAGCGAATGTGGATACTGAGAAACTGCAACTGAGTCTGTTCTTGGCAAAAATTTGAATAAGGAGGTTGGGACTACAGCTTCTGAGTCCGTACATTAGGTGTGCATGTGTTCACCTGCGTATGTGTGTGTTTGGTGGTTTGTGTGAGTGTAAGAAGTTCAGTGAAATAGGGCCACTTAGTTTCCGTGTGAGATACCTGATATTCTTCCTCTTTGTGTTCTGTAACAAAGGCTTTTTATTCAATCCCCTTATTTTGCAGCACAACTGGACAGTATTTATGTGTTTATTTGTATCCTCAGTGGTCGTTCTTAACATGCACAGCATTACATACACAGACAAATGCGTACATACAAATACATGTTCAATCCGATAGGTAATTAAATTTAAGCCAAATACAGTTGCGGTTAAACAAATCTACCAACCACAACATAAATTTGCATGATTTTCTTGCTGGTTATTCCGACATCTGCACAACATCACCACATTCAGCCATGTTTCTGTTTTGCCTGAGCATCTCAGCTGCATCAGTTTATGGTGTTTGAAGTGCACTGTTCTCATCAGCCGAAATAATGTTTTAATCAGATTCTTGTAGAAGTTAAATTGTAGAACCGTCAAAGTTAGAAATTACTCAGTACTATTTGCTAGACTACCAGCAGTCTGTGTTAAAGCCGGTCTAGAGACAATTAACTCAAGGGAAGTGAATCAAACTCTAACCTGCCTGTGAGTGGCAATTTTATTATTAGAATAGCCGGTAGTGGTTAATAATGTTGTCATTGTGATTACTCAGTTTTACTGTAAGTCACAGTATTGATACCATTTTTCGGCAGCTTATCATATACAGCTGTTTCCTGTGTGTGTATCTGTGTTTTGCTGCTAGCATGGGGAATACGGTAAGGGAATGAGGTGGAGGGGGTATTGGGAAGGGATTGGCGTAGGGGATTGTTAGGAAGGATGAGGGGGGTAGGGGAAGGAGAGGGTTACTTCTCTCTTCTTCTTCTTCTCCTCACGCTCCTTGTCTTTCTTTCCCTCTCTTCTCTCTTTCCTCCTTTTCCCCCTTTTCTCTTTTTAGTTTTTCCTTCACCTTCCTATTCCTTTTTGTCTTTCCCCTCTCTCTCTCCTCTCAGTTTCCAATCTCTTTTCTACCTTCATTGCTTTTTTCCCTCCTTTCTCCTCTTCCTCATCTGCCTTCTCCTTGTCTTTTGGACAAGCGCCTGAAAAAAGACAGAGAACATAAAGTCAGGTTCAAAAGTGTGAAACCACTTTCCCATTGAGTGGTCTTAGACTTTTGGACTGTATATAGTATATTGAGTATTTTCCCTGTTCGAATCAACCATAAACAAACTGTTACAATTAGTAATTTTCCAGAGCAAAATGATCAGTTGATGTACATGAAGCTCAGTGCTGTGCTGCCTCAGGAGCTTCTTCCATGTGGCTCACTTTATTGAACCACTCTCCCCTCCCCCTGTATTGTCTTGAAGCTGGCATCCTTTGCTGCCAGCTAACACTTCTGCTCATCCTCCAGAGCCTTGAGTTTCATTTCTCCTGCTTCTGACTGAGCTCTTTGTTGGCCTTCGACTCCTTCAGGGCAGCTGTTCCTGAGACCAGCTCCCTGTTTTGTTTCTTTTTTTTTTTTTTTCTTTTCTCCCTCAGTATTTTGACACAACCTACCTACCTACCTGACACCTGCCCCTGCAGTTAAGATTTTGTTAAAAGAATAGTTCAGCATTTTGGGAAATCTAACCCTTGCTACCATTCTCATATCAAGGCAAACAGCCAGTGAGGTACTGCACAGAGGTGCACGGATGGATAGATAAAGTTGTTAGCAGTTGCTAGTAAGTGTATTTTTTAACTTTGGACAGAGCCATGCTAGCTGTGGTCCCTGCTCTTAGCTGTAGCTCCATACCTCAATCACCTCGTCTAACTCTTTGAAAGACAGCAAATAAGAATATTCCACAGACTGTTAAGTTAGTTGTTTAAGTGTACAAGAAACAAATGTTGACTGTTCATGCTCAGTGTTAGGGTCAAAGCCTGTGTTTCCACGCCCCAGGACTCTACACCAAGTTGGAGAATGCAAACTGAAAACCTCCTTCTCTCAGGTCCACTTGTTTTAACTTTACAATTAATCCTGCCTGACGTTATTTCACCGTCAGGCAGATTGTCCCTGCTATGTAATGAAGAGTGAGTTAAAATCTATTGGCGATTACTACAGAGGCTGTGAGCCAGTGCTGTGTAAACTGACTAATGAGCTGACAGCTTGTGAATAATTACAACACAGTTATTGTGAAGGACACTGTAGCTCTCTAGTTGTGTTATGAACTTTGCCCTAAGAGGACTGGAAAAGGAGAGGCTTTGACGCAGAGTGCTAAACTGAATATACGATTTAGCCTATGTGTGTGCGTGTGTGTGTAATTGATGGTATGTGATAGTAGAAACACTGCATCAGTTTATTGGGTCATTTTGGCACCGTGTGTGTGTACATGCATGAGTGTGTGTGGTCATTCTGTCTGATAATGTGTGTCAGGGAGGAAGTGACTTTTGTGTTTTAACATGATAGTGCAGGAAGGATTTACTGTAAGGCACCATGTTTGTGTGCATATGTGAGAAGGTATAAGCACATCAGTTATATATCTGTGTTTTTGTGGTTGCTTGTGTCTCATGCGCTCTCATGTGTTCTGTTTTTTTTCACATGCACATCTACCGGTAAAGGGTTGCAGTGATATTGCTTTCTGGAAACTGGACGGTTGTTATCTTCTACATATATCAATAACTGACAAAATCAACCCCTCCCATTTTCTCCTTTTATCACTTGTTTTGAGCCATGATCTCTTTTGTGTATTCATCACAAAAAACCTCTTTGAAAGCACAAAATAACAAAACACTTTCATGATTTTATGATAAGCTCATAAAATAATTGGTCTGTGTCCCTCACTTCCTGGCTTGTTACATCTTCCTGTCTCATACCCTAGGCCAGTGCGGGAGGCGTGCGTCGGTTCACCAAGCCCCCGGAGTCTCTGGAGCGCTCCCTGGAGCTGTCCCGCCACCGTGGCCGCAAGAGGACCCAGAAGAGGCCGAACTACAAGAACCTGGGCGAGGAGGAGGACGATGAAAGGGCTGGGGGAGGGGGAGGAAGCGGCGGACTTGGAGGAGAGGAGAGCTGGGATGACAACGGCAGAGGAGGAGAGAGGGAGGGAGGCCGGGAGAGGGAGAAGGGAAAAGGTACAGAGGGAGTAGGAGGAGGAGGAGGAGGTGGGAGTTCTAAGGGAAGCAGAGCGAGTGGTGAGACGGCGGAAGGTGAGTGTGTGTCTCACTGGACACAGCAGTACAGGACTGTGTTTGTGAGTGTTCCTTTACTCCCATCAATCAGACACAGTCTCCCATGATGCACCCTGGTTACCCAACAGCTACCACAGCAGCAGCCCTCGTCTCCAAACAGAAAAGAGAGAGACTAACAGAATAGCCAGTAAAGACAGAATAACTTAACAGCTGATAGCAATTTACCTTTTACTGTAAATATGCTCTGCTTTTCTGCTTTGGCATTTTAAGTGTTTAATTCAATGTGCACATGACTGTTGCTGTCATCACCATGCATTTGCAGTGTGTTGCAAAATTCAAATGAGACTATGCTGCCTCTTCATCAGAAGAGTGTTAAAAAAATAACTTTTACCTGTTTTTAGAATGAAAACCTGTTAAATTTGAGGTTAAAAGAAAATGCAGAAGAAAAACAGCAAAAGAAAGAAAGTTTAATTCAAAATTCCTCTTTGACTAGTTTTGAGATGAGGCCTCCCTCTTTTTGCTGCTTCTCGTGTTAAGCGCCTTTTAATTTCCCCATGGTTACCATGGCTACCACTGATCACATGTCCAACACAATCTCCATGGCAGCCGACTGTCCATTTCCACGGTGACACACCATCCATCCTGTGCTCCTCACCTCTCCGCCTGTCTCTCACGTTTGTTCTGTGTGCATGTGTGTTTGTTAGTATCCGTCTGTGAGTGTTTGTGTGTAAAGTAAAAAATGTGATCATTTCAATCATCTGAAATGATTCCTTCTTTACTTTGACTGATTAGACTTTGTTTCAGAGAAGAGTTTTTGTGCAGGGCTACATGATCTTCACAAACTGACGCCTCTGAAGGCTCAAAGGCACAGACTTGTTTTTGACAGCATGAGTATTAACACAAACATCGTGGGCTGCAGAGGAACAGACAGTTTCAAAACAAAACATGTACCATTTGTGGTGGAAAAATGACACCTACCATTTTCAACTGATTGATAAGCAAAGAGAAACTTTTTGCAGGATAGATGATAACTTCTAACTTAGGTGGCAGGCTGTCGGTTGAAACATTACCAATACTACATGGTTCCTCTACATTTGAATGTAAAAATCAGATGCATTTGTGCATTGAAAATCAACATTTTGTTCTCTAATCAGTATTAAGCAGACACGTGATCAGTATTGCTGCTTCAATACATTTGATCGCTTTTTAAGCCAGTGAAGGCTGAGAAGGAAGCACTTCAGACTGTACATTCATAATCACTGGTGAAAACAGCCCATTTTTTACTTGATAGCTGTGATGTACTGTTGATGTGTTTTTGTTGAGGGTGTTTGATGTCAATGTAAATAGTATGTATTTAAAATAAGAAAACAAAAAACTTCATGTTTATGGACACTTAATTATGCCATTTGTGTGTGTGTGTGTGTGTGTACGTGCGTGCGTGCGTGTGTGCGTGTTTGTGTTTGCACGTACAGAGATAGAGATGGTGGTGATGGAGAAGTGTATGGTGTCAGAGCTGACGGAGCAGAACATCACCGATGAGGAGAAAACCGCTGCAGCCACCCGCACACACGCACAGAGGAGCAGGTAGATCGATGCTCATATCTGAACACACTGAAAGACAGAAGTGTGGATTGATAACTTGACACTTTTTCTCTATCTGCAGGCCATTCTTAGACATGGTGTACAGTGCCCTCGACTGCACCAGTGATGACTACCATGCCCTGTTTGTCCTCTGTCTGCTTTATGCGGTCTCACACAGCAAAGGTTCGTCTTTCTGTTCATTTCTACACATTGATTCTGTTGTTCTACTGTGCTGCACGTAATATAAAATAAAATAAAATAAAATACAGCAGCAGCACAGTGGGCAGTTACTTACCATCTGATAATCATGTTGGAGGTCCATGACTGTGCAGAGGATCTACTTAATTTAAGGGAGGGGGGTTTTGTACTGTTCACTTCCTCTCTGATACCACTGATACTAATCTATGGTCCGGTATTCCATTGCTTAAGTTCTGTGTAACCTAATATACTTTTACTGGACCTGTTATGGCTCAAGGTAGAATAGGTCATTGACTAATTACAGAGTTGAATTGCTATATATATAATGTAGTTTACCTAAGAGTTTTAATGTGATCACACTGTGATGCTGTTGTTGGCTGTTGTAAACATTATATCTGCAAAAGGGCAACAGGAAGCTAGGCTAGATAACAAGTCAAGTTACACCTCAGATGATTTTGGGGTAGACATCAGGACTAAAGACGAGACATTCTGCTGTATCCCACTAACATCTATTTTGAACAAACCTCCAAACGTCACAGTGTTCATTTTTATACGAGTAAATGTGCATGAAACATCTGCCTGCCATGTGCAGGTATAAACCGTGATCTTCTGGAGCGGCTGCAGCTGCCAGTTCCTGACCAGGAGAGGAGCTCCTATAGCCTAGTGCTGGTAGAGAGATTAATCAGAGTTATGAGCCAGGCAGCACAGCCAGGTAACACACACACACACACACACACACACACACACACACACTTTGTTTTGATAAGCTACTATGGAACCACAGGTTAGTTAACCTCATTACTAACTCATGTATTTCTGTGTATATAGATGGTAAAGTGCGTCTAGCTACTCTGGAGCTGAGCTGCCTGTTATTAAAGCAGTCTGTGCTGTCTGGAAACCACTGTATAATCAAAGACGTTCATCTGGCCTGCCTGGAGGTACAGCACACTCAAATATGTACATGATTCCCCTCATACAAACCATCCCATCAACATATCACGCACACACAGACTCAGTCATTTAACAAAAAGAATTTCAGGTATCAGTGGGTCAGACCAGGCAGGTTAAAAGTTGGATCTTGTACCAGAAGTTTTGTTCCGTTGTTCCATTTAACATTATCGCTTCCTCAGAATCCATAGCAGCAGGGTTTCTCAGCGAGTGCTCATTTGTGGTTATGACCCACAACTTTTTTCAGCATATAGTGTACAGTTGATGGTTTGAAAACGTTGAAAAGTCGGACCTCCCTTTTCCTCTCCTTTGTCCTAACCACACATGGCATCTCGCCAACTGTCTTCTTGTTCCTTATTTATTCCCTCTGACTCCCTCTCCTGCTACTTGCCTAGGCCTTTGAGCAGCACTTGATTCTTCTTTCTCATCCTTCTGCGAATTTTAATTTCACTTCATTATAATCTTCCCCACCCTCTCTTTCTCTGCACTCCTTCATCCTTCCTTCACACAGTTACAAGAAATAGGTGTGCTAATGCATCTGTGGTTTTTTTTTTTTCTTCTTCCCCCCCCCCTTGGTCATTTTACAATCATTTTTGCTGACAGGTCTTTCGAAGTCTTACCTACTGTTATCAGTAACTAACATTTATGGGGGTTTCTGCTGAGAGAATTTACAACCTCTTACACCGTTAAATATTTCCTGGTTTGCAGGTAAATCACAAACTGCTTCATTGTTGAAGGATTACCATATCTAAAAGTACTTTCGATATCACTGCAGGAAGAACATTAGTTTCACATAACTATCCTTCCTTGCCTCCCATAACACAACAGAGAAGTGACAACATTACTTGGCAGTTGAATTACATCATATCTGATTCCTATTGAGTGAATAGAATATCACTGGCCAGCCTTTCTCAGGAACAGCAGTTGGTTAACAAGATTCACAGTAACTTACTCACTTACCTACTCTGAATAAAACTTTAATGGTAATTGGCCTGGTGATCAATGAGACTGTTAGCACAGTCCACAGCCCACAAATTGAATTGCAAATTTGGCATTTCTGTGTTATTTCCAGTGATAAGAATTGTGGTAATATTTCATGGAATAGTGCCACATTATGGGAAAATTGCTTATTTGCATTCTGGCAGAGAGTTAGATGAGAAGCCTGATATCACTATCTGTCCGCAAACAGTAACTTCCATGGAGTCCACTTTTTGCCTGGAAACTGCTCAGAGACAAGAAATGGAAAAAGTCAAATTGTGGTTTTCACATTTTGGTTTTTGTATGGATTAAACTAACGCAATATAATAAATCAAATAAATTAGTGAGTCAAACTTTTGCTTCAAGGAATCAAAAGGAAAAATGTGATTTGTATGATATGTATTAACTTCCAGTAGAGTAAAAGTTGTAATCTAAATGTATAAAATCTAAAATATGTCTGTCTCCTGGTGCATAGAACCATAAGAATATAAAACAAAGACTGAGTCGAGAGTTCAGTTTAGGTATAGGGACAATGTTGTTAGATGCATTGATACCATTGACAAAGTTCTTTTGACTTTATTTTCAACATTATTATTGGCGATTTCTTCCCTGTTCCATGATGTAAAAAATGTACATTATATTTAATGAAGATGAGATGTGTTTATTTGTGAATATGTGCCACATGAATTATGGCTCAGGCTATGCATTTGCTATTATTGCACTCTGTTTACATGTCATGTTTGTGCTTGAAGGGTGCAAGAGAAGAAAGTCTGCATTTACTGAGGAGATTCTACAAGGTGAGTGTACACAGTAATATAATTTAATAACATTTTTCTACCCAGAACACAAGAACACACACAGCGAAAACACACTCGGAGAAGCAGACTGACACCGTCATAGCAAGAAAAACTTGAACTTTTGCTGTTCTGGCTGCTCAGACATTGAGAACTTGCCTCTCTCTGGGTGTGTTCAGAGACAGCAACCAGGCAACCACATATACAGTAATTTAGGGAGAATAGAAGAAGAGAGAAAAAGGAACTAGATGGACAAACAGACGTTCTGGTATTCTAGCCAGTGCTTCTCCAGTACCGTGTCACAAAAAAGGTGACTCATTATCATCTACTGATTATAATTGAAGCCATTTCCCTGAAGTTGTTATAGGTAAAACCGAAAGTATTTACTATATAATGTCGGATTTGTACACATAGGCAAAAGTTCAGTCAGGGCTTTCTGTTTCTCTTTGAGTGTGTTTAGATATCGGTTTTGGAATCAGTCACAACTCTTCAGTCTTGCTGACTTTTCATGGTCCAGTTGCGTATATGGACACAGTTCATTTACAGCATTTAGGAAAATACCTACAATCAATATGCTGACTCCAAACATTTCTATTGAAAAAAGATCTGGTAACTAACTTTATGTTTTTAAACTCTTACTACCAGCAGGTTAAAGAGCTCAAAATAAATGTTAAATACTGCTTTAAAGCGAAGAAGGAGGCAGTAGTTGCGGTAGTTTCATATTTCCAGGAAAGAAACTGTCCTTATTTAGCAAGTCTCTGGTCTACTGTGTGCAACAAATAGAACACACAGATGACAAATTAAGGAAAAAGCAACATTATTAAGACAAGTGTCATAGTAAGATGTTGGGCAATCATGTGTCACCTGAACAGCTTCAGTGTCCCTTGGCATTGATTCTACAAGTCTCTGAATTCTACTGAAAGGATGAACACCATTTTTCCAAAAGATATTCCCTCATTTGGTGTTTTGATAATAAAGTGATGGAGATTGCTGTCTAACCAAAATCCCATAGGTGTTCAATTGGGTTGAGATATGGTGACTGTGAAGGTCAGTGCACACGATCAGAGGTCATTGAAGGCATCTGCATTTGCTGTGTTTCTTCACTCATTATCAAGTTTTTCCCTTAACTTGTCACCTGTCTGTACATCATTGTCCCCACTGAAAATGAAACTTATCAGAATGTGTTGTGCAAGTGTACATACTTCCATACACCACGTTTACACCCTGCATGTACAGGCAGATGAGTCAGCTGAGTGTTTCATGATAGTGTATATGACAAAAGGAAAAGGAAAACATGAAAGAGTGAGTCCGGGCAAATAATCTTTTGAAGACACAACGGCAGCTTGTTAAGGAAGGAAGTTTCTGCATTAATGTTCTCTTTGTATGGAGGTCATGATTTGAGAATTTGAGAGCCCATGACAACCAGCAGAGGAGTGGGTACACAAAGCATATATGCTCAGAACAGTGTCTACATGGAGATGTGTGATAAGACACAAAGGATGTGTCTGCCCTTTTTTGCCCTTTTTTCTTTCTTTTTTTTTTTTAAATAACAATGAAATAATGATTTATGTTAAGGGTTTTTTTTTTTGTCACCATAATGTGCTTGTGTGAACAGATTTAGGTCCCCACAGTATGAGTAATACCTGGACCACACACACACACACATATTATTATTTTTATCATTATTATTATTATTTCATATGAATGTATCTGGCCTGTTTAACTTGAGAGATATTCTTTATGAATAAAGGGGGTGGAACTCAATACTGTGGGTTATGTTTAACTGACTTCCAATTTCCTATGCCATGACAGGGAGAGGAAATCTTTCTGGACATGTTTGAAGATGAGTACCGGAGCATGACGGTTAGTTGGCCTTCATCCAATGTTTGTTTTACTCCCTCTTTAAAAATGAAACATGATCAACTGTAGCATACAAATACATTGTCGTTGCTGCTATTTTGTGTGGATTAGGATGGTGGTATGGATGTTGTACGTGGGCTTGTCTGGACTCATGCACATGTGTGTATGTTGCAGAGTAAACCGCTGAACGTGGAGTATCTAATGATGGACGCCTCAGTACTGCTGCCACCCACCGGCACCCCTTTGACTGGAATTGACTTCGTCAAGAGACTGCCCTGTGGAGACGTGGAGAAGACACGCAGGGTGCGTCCACTCACACACTCGTACTCATCCCATATTCCATTTATTAGATTCCTGGGAAATCAGACCGTATAGTTGAAATATGAGTTTCTTCTGGAGGCTTTGAATCCAAATTATTTTTACTTGAATAATAACTGACATTTTCAAACACTTGTGTTGCTGCGTTGTTTTGGTTTATTGCTCTGCCAAAACCAACGATTCTATAAACAAGTGACAACAGGATGGAAGCGCTCCAAAGCTCAGATGAAAGATGAAATGTATTCACCTGATTCTAACAGTGATAAGAACATTGATGGTTTTTTTCTAACAGGTTCTGTTGAGGCACTGTCATTCTTTTATTCCTTTTCAATGGTTTGTTGTAACTGTCAGTTTCAGACAGGATATTTGATTTAACGTGACATTTCTGTGTGTGTGTGTGTGTGTGTGATTGTGTGGGACCTCTTCAATCACTGCACAGGCGATCCGTGTGTTCTTCATGTTGCGGTCACTGTCGCTTCAGCTCCAGGGAGAACCTGAGACACAGCTGCCTCTGACCAGACCTGAAGACCTCATCAAGACAGACGATGTCTTAGACCTCAGTAAGACACACACAGAGGAACAGAGGCATGCTGTGCGCTGTTAGTCATAAAAGCAATCTCTCATCAGCTCTCATAATCAGACCACAGCTGATCTATCATTTTTATCCTTTTGGGAAATCGAGTGAAACTTTAGGGTGGGTAAGGACAACATAAAAGAAATGTTAGAAAATTAAATCTGATTAGTGCAGTAAAAGTATGAAGAAGGTCAAAGGAAGAAAATTACAGACACTTTCCTCCCTAACTACAAGAGCAGGGGAAAACAGTAAGAACCAATCCTACAATTCACCAAAAACAACTTCTATCAACCTACAATTACAGCATGGTTATCTGACACACGTCAGGAATTCTCTCTCCCTTTTTCTCTCTCTCTCACACTCACTCTCTTTGAAACACAGGCGTATGAGTACAATCTTAACAATACCAAGACACGTGCACATTCAAGCACTGACAACCACAGCGAGAGGAGCATACGGACACACTCACAAGCATCAATGCACACAGCTTCCCACACACCACGATAACCTGAACATTCTTCTCTTAATGTACACAGGTGTGTTGATGTTTTGGAAACTTGCACGTGGTTACTGCTGTCGGGCAGGATATCACAAGTACGACTGCACAGTAATGTCAACCGGAGAGAAGGAACTTTCTCACACATGCAGTGCTCAAACTTTGCAAATCCGTTAAATCTTTTTTTTTTTTTTTTTTTTTTTTTTTTTTTTTTCCGACGTGCATGCATGCATTTTTAGCTCCTTCATGCAATGAACTGAAGTTGCAACTACAATTGAAAATACAGCTGTAAATATTCTACCTTTTACCCTAAGATAGGGCCTGCATATTAGATTTATTATTATGAATATTTTCGCCAAAGTTTACTAGAGCTTACACCTCCATGCCAAATAATTTTGGGCTTCATCCAAAGGTTGGGTAAAAACAGACGTTTTGAGAGAAAACAACTGACACAACCACAACAACCAGTACAGTTAAAAATGTGCTGAAATGTAGCACTGTGCAAAGGTTTTAGGCTCTAAAAGTAATGTGAGGATGCTTCCAAAAATAATGCCATGAATAGTTTTTATTTCTTAGTTAACTTCATGCAAAGTGCAGTAAACGATAGTAAAACTAAATCAACTTAATACTTGCTGTGACCATCCTTCCTCCAACATTCTCCTCTATAAACATCCATACAGATTTTTAAGGTACTTATCAGGTAGCTCCCTTGAGAACTTGCCTCAGTTCTTCTGTGGATTGAAGGCATCTAGGTATCTTCTGTCTCTTCATATGATCCCAGACTTTTGGGATCAGCACCGTATGAGGGCCAGGCCGTCTGTTGCAGGTCTTGTAATTCTTCTTGTCGCTTGTTTGCGGTGTTTCACCAAAACCACCATCAGATCCTGTTGTTTCATAACATCTCATCCTGCTCCTTTATGAATACCATGGCCTAATCATTAACACCATGTCAGTGTCAGGAAAAGCACAATGGCAGAAAACCTTAAACCTTAGAAAAACACAATTTATAAAGGATAGTTTCAACTTACTTTAAACATAAATTCAACACATTGGGATAGGAACTTATAGGAACAGTGGATATCAAATCAATTGATCAATATTAAATATTTGGAGGTATTGTACAGCGTGTGTGTGTGTGTGTGTGTGTATCATGTGTTTAAAAGTTTTTCTTTATCTGAAATAGCAGTAGAAGTAGTTCAAGATGTAGCAGCAATGTCACATTTGAGAAAATGAAAGTGCAGAATTATCTACAGCAGCAGAAAAATGTCTTGTGTAGATTAAAAGCCAAAAATATCAACTGTTTTGAGAAAACATAATCATAAATTCTCTTTGATTATTTACTGGGAAGTGACTGTTGCTATGACTCTCTCAAAATAATAATCATCAGATATTGAGATAACATTTTCTTGGAACAGAGGAAAGACAAAAGCATGAACCTAATGTCCTGCTGTCTGAACTCTCTTATTCAATTGCACTTAGTTACTGAGTGACTCGGCGTAACAGTGTTTATCAAAAACAATGAAATAAACAGTTAATTTCTGCTAGATCTCTGAAATTGGGTTGGTATACTTGGCTTAAGACACACTGGTTAGACGAACTGACAAATTACCTGTAGGTGTGAATGTGAATGTGTGAATGGCTGTTCAAATGTGTCAGCCTGGCAGCCTGTCAATGGTGTGACCCACCTCCTACACAATGTCAGCCACGGTAGGCCTCATCTTGCTGTGACCCTGCACTGGATGAGTAGGTATTTAGATGATATCCAGTGGTAGCCAAAACATTTATATTACTGTTATAGTAATATATATGTATATGTATGTTTACAACTTCATGATTCCAGTATAACGTATACACCATTTGACCCACTGCTTACACTCTGAGAGTAGAGTTGGAGGGAGTTCTTCTCTTATTTGAAATGAGCCGTCAGTTTTATTTTAAGTGTACCTTTCTTAGCAGAACATCTAAGAAGGAAAGTAAAGTTCGCCACAAATTTCCCAAAGCAGAAAGTGTCACACAGTATCGATATTAGATGTATCTTATGATGCAAGAAAAGAAAGTCTGTATTGTTTTCCTCTTTCACACTGTCTTTGCTCTCCTTATGAGGCTTTCCATCTTGCACCATCTCATCATATTTTGTAGTTATCGGTAACACAATTGTCAGGATGAACATTTAAAAAAAATCACACGCTTTTATTAAAAGATCATTTTACTTGTGCTTCTATATAAGAAAAATATTCTGTGTTTTATTTTCTCTTTACCTACATTATATATTTCATGTTGTTTGTGATTTCAAATGTTTAATATGTCTTGGTATACCATTAAAATCTTAGAATCTTAGAATACACAAACACAAGAGTTGGTCCACTGAGTTGTTTAGTTAGCAGTGATGACTGTACAAACTGAGGCAAAGTTAGATAGTTGTAGCCTTATAAGAGTTATCATTATCTGTGATGACAGAGCTGCAGTTTCATTATTTCTTGAAAACCCACCCGACTTATGTGGCCTGATGAATGAATCAAATCCATGACACACCAGTGTGTGAGTCATCAGATGCTGAAATCATCAATCAATCATCATCAGATCCTGTTTGTTTTTTTAATCAAAGTATTAGACTTTAATTACTGACCTTGTTTTAAATCTTGATAGATTTTGTACTCCTGTGATGGATGTGTTTTGTGTTGTAGCTCAGCTTTCATGAAGCCTTTTTCAGTTTTTCAAAACCCAGGTGATGAAAACACACCAAATTCTTTTCTCAATTATTCTCATTTGGGAGGGGAAGTGGGTAGCTCTAAAAAGAAATCATTTGACAAACAGAGGGAAACATACCTGTTGAAACCAGATGTCTCACTTCAGCTTTACTTTCAACTCCAAATCAGCGGTTGAAACTGTGACTGTTTTCATGATTCCAAATGCCAGTCGAAAGAGTCAGTGGCCGATGTAGGTAATGATAGTCTTAAAGAGCTGTCATATGAGGTGTGACAGGGCTTCCAGTAATTTTAGACCACTTCAAAAGGTCATTTTAAATAAACCATTTCGTAATTATGACTATCTGTATTTCATTTAACTAAGGCTCTTTTTTTGTTGGCTTTACTCCTCTGTTCTTTTTTCTTTTTTAACCAAATCACTGTCACTTTCATTTAACCAAGGTGGTTGACTAAGAACACACTATTACAGAGTAATAATGGGGAGAGGGAGGGTTTTTCCTCATTGGTTGGGGGATTTAAATCTACCATCTTCCACCCACGAACTCCTTTTTCTGACCATTAGGCTTTCATTGCCTCCATTTCACCACATCCTCTGTAGTAAAGTTGTTGAATTACAAAGCATGTGCTAAGCAAAGCAGCAGTCTGTAACTGTACATTGTGTCAGCGGAGTAGTAAATTTGTGGTTGCAGAGATGGTCTCTCAACTGGAAGGTCATGTTGCATTCAGCAGGAAATTTGCCTCAATTGTGAAAGTGTGATTGAGCAAGGCTACCTACTCTTGGTTGCATACATGTGACCCGAAGGAGCAGAGACACAAATTCACAATGTTACTGTTTAACATGGGAAGTCTGCATTTTGCTGTTTGCTGAGTTCAACATTGGAGTTTATTGTTTGAGTACTGATTTATTCTCATTTTACAGTGGCTATCAAATATATTAGCACCTCCTTGCACCTCCTTTTTTGAGTTGCTTTTAATTGTAAGTAGGTGAAATGGACAAACTATTATAGTTGTTCAAAAAGTCACTGTTGATGAACTTGATATTACAAATTTCTATTGAACATGCCCAGGTGTAGCTAGTTATCTCTTGAGGATGAATTGCTCAAAGGAGCACTATAAACACAAATGTTGCTGACTGACTGACCGACCAATAACGTTACTCCATTGGTTGGCTGGCTGAGTGTTGTTTCACCACGGTTCGTTGCTCTTTCAACTTTTTGAACAAACCTTAGCTACTCTCTTTAGAGGAAAGTTGCCTTTATTGCCCATTCACTTTCAGTCAGTATTTCATATTTGTTCCGTTGTCTGGCAACAGAAGCAGAAAAACATTAAAATCAGAACAGCTTTATTGGGAATTTGGCTGTGTGATAATACTGTATATGTCAGCACAGAGAGTAGCAAACACATAAAGGGCTGAAACCGGCTGACACTAGGCCGCATGGAAATAGCTGCAGTCCAGCCTTAACTAGGTTTTGACTAAGTCTTGTTTTTTTCTCACACCAGTGAATACAGTCCCTCCATTGTCTACCTTCAGTAAGGCGTGTGCAACCTGGCAGGTTAATAAGGGACACTTGATAGCTGGAGAGAATGCTTTCATGGACAGGGAGTGCTAAGCGCATACACATGCTCTAGGCTGACAGCTGCTCACTGCCCTGTTGTCTGGTGCTTGTTACTGAAAAGTCATATCTTGCTTGGTTACAGATGAAAAAGGAGGATAGGGGGTGTACTACTTTAGTCAGCTACTTAGAAAAACTGAAGAACCATTTTTTGAAGAACTCCTAAGAACTTGTGCAATACAAACAACATTCACAATGTATTTGCTGAATGATGTTTAATGATAAAAGATGGGGAAAAAAACTGTCCTGATGACATGACACAGCAGTATGCTTACAATACTGAAATAGTGTTTAACATAAGTTAACTTAAGTTAAACATAAATGCTTTTTTCTCAACATCTTTCCTCTGGGGATGGGAGAGAATCTAAAAACCTGACTAATACTTAGAAATATATTCTACACCCTGAAACCAATCTTTCATAGAAAGGTGCTTCCCTGCAATGTGTCTGTCTGAAAATAAATCCAGTGGTTGAAACTGTCCCTGCTTGAGTGATCCCAAAAGAGCTGCTGGATAGAGTCAACTTGTTGTCTATTAATTGCCTCACATTTGGACCAGGCAAGTTGACCCACCTTGGCGTTCTGTAGTCAGAAGTTAAGTAGAAGTTGGGGGTGGAAGGGTTTTTTCCCAGCTGGTCTTAGGATTCAATCTGTAAGATTTCCCCTAATTTCTTTGACCATTTAGCTGTTGGAGTCCCTTTGCTACCACAGAACCGGGGACTACCTTTCCAGCTGTAGGTACTTTTCGCTGTTCACTATTTCACTGTGTAATGTCAAAGTTCCTGGTAACCCCCATTGATCTTTTAATATTGGTTAAAAAGAAAGTCATGTAAAAAGAAAACCACATGTATAATTTACACCAAGAGCCGCCACCTGTGCATCAATAGCTGTCTGACACTTAGGAAGAACACAGAAAATAGTGAAAGTAGAGTAAGAATAGTGTTCCCCCAGGACTAGTTAAACCAACAAAAAAGTATAGTGTACACCAGTACACAGGTCCAGCCAGTTTCACATGAATAACTGGTTTAAAACTTGATTGGTTAGGATACTAGAACAGAAATCAAGAAACCAAAGAAGAGGAATATTTTAAAGAGGAAGGGACATGTGTGAGACTGTACAAGAGCTGCACATTAGTGTGGTGTTACTGCTTTACATTTTAACCAGTCAGGGTGGGTGATATTTAAACCAAAACCGATGATGTCAAATCAGGTCATGATCAGTTCCATATTTCAAGTTTACTTCGCAGTAGGTTTTGTGGTAAACTAAAGTGAAAATGCTGAGATGTGGGCCTGTCATTTCTTCATCATGCTCCTAGACATGTGGGAGAAAAGAGTCTTCACTGTCCTTTTAAGTTTGTCTAGCAGTCTGTCTGTTCTCACTCACTGTGTGTTTGTGTTTGTCTGCTGTATATATGTATATATATATATATATGTATGTGTGTATATATATATGTATAGTGTTATGTTGTTGTAATGACATTGTCGTTGTAACATCAGGATTTTAGCAGCAGAGCAGCAGCTTGAAAATGTAGTACGTGTCTTAATTGACCAAGTTTCAGTCACTATTTCATAAAATAAATGAAACTGACGCTAGGCAGAATGCAAATAGCCTGTGACACAGTCCAGTCATATACAAGGTTTTAATCATGTCTTGTTTTTTGTTTTTTTTTTGGCCATACTGGACATTTCTATTTTACACTGAAGTATTTCTAAAGAAGATGGATCATTGTATTGTTCAAGTTTCATTTGTAACATTTCTAAGTAGACTGTATGAAGTGAAAACTTCAGTGTCTTAATAGGGGACTTTCACATGCTGTTGTAAGGCAAGAAGTTGGTGGTCATTCCATGTCTATGTGCATTATGTATTTTATATTTAATTATATATTTTGCTTGTCTTCTCAGCCACCCCATATTTATCTCTGCAACCATTGTTCAGACTTTCAAACATCAAAAAGTATTGAAAAATTGCCCAACTTAACTTCCAAGTGCTCAAGGTGATGGCTTTGAATGTTGTTTTGTTTAACCAAAACTCCAGGGCCCAAAACTGTTCTGTTAACAATGATAAATGACAAAGAGAAAAGCAGGGACTCCCTCATTGGAGAAGCTTGACCCGGAGAATAATGTCAGTATTTTTGTTTGGAAAATGACAGTTCAAGAAATGAGGAAATTTGTGGATTGTTCGAGACTTGAGGTGCCCATATGGCCATACCTTGACCTGAATCGCATAGCAGCACGTTTTGTTTCATGTTCATCATCTTTTTCAGATAACAGTGACCTAATAGCCTGTATGGTGGTCAGTAAAGATGGTGGCCAGGCCCAGAGGTTTCTCGCTGTAGATGTGTACCAGATGAGTCTGGTCGAACCAGAAACCAAACGCCTTGGATGGGGTGTCGTCAAGTTTGCCGGGCTTTTGCAAGTAAGAGAAAAGTGGTGTGTCCATGTTTGTGTGTGCTTGTGTTTGTTCATCCTTTTTATTGTGATCTTTGGTTTATCTCTTAATTTCTTCTCTGCCATTCCTCATTCAATATATCATTTATTTATAGCTGCCTTTTTTTAATTCAAAAAAATTTAACTTGTTTTCTGCCTCATCATCCCACCAATTTGTCCTCTCTGTTTCTCTCCTCCTCTTCCTCATTACGTCCTTTAGATAAGCATGTTTAGTCCTGCCGTGTAAAGGTCACAGTGTATTCTGCAATGCCAATATGACATCAGATAAGTTCAAAGGATATTGTGAAGAAGTTATGAAATCTGAATTGCAGAATATACAATATGTTCCTTGTGAAACTGATATTGTGAAAGTATTACAATGTGTTTCTGGTATATTTTAAATCTATTACATGAAATAAGGTTTCCTTCTTTCTTTATGAATGTCATGTTAACTTCTTTTATTGGGTCTAAGTTTTTGAATGTAACTATGGTCATAACTTATGTCCCATTTATCTGTCTCTCAACTCACTTTCCATGCATTTGTGTCTTTCATTCCATTTTTCTCGTATTTTCTTCCCCTCTAATTTCCCTCTCTCTCTTTTTCTCTCAATTTTCTGTACCTTTTTCCATCTCAACAGGACATGCAAGTGTCTGGCGTTGAGGATGACAGCAGAGCGTTGAACATCGTCATCCATAAGCCCAGCTCCAACCCCCACGCCAAGCCTCTGCCCATCCTGCAGGCCAACTTCATCTTCGCTGACCACATCCGCTGCATCATCGCCAAGCAGAGGCTGGCCAAAGGTCGCATCCAGGCCCGGCGCATGAAGATGCAGAGGATCGCCGGTAAGTAAATAGGAAGCCTTTTAAGCCTGTGCTCGCTCAAACGCTCAGCATGACCGTTTGTCTTTACACACGACTTTTCTCAGTCTATGTGTTTCAGAAGCTACTTTGAAACTATACAGTAGAGTAGTTATCGGCAGAAATCACATGAGATGTTAAACAGAAAGTAAGTGAGTGGATATATAATAGACACAATACTGAAATATAACAATGAAAAGTCAAATCAATCAACAGCTAACATGACTTCTAGCAAATCTGTAGCAAGTCAGCCAAAGGAAAACATCCACTTATGTAAAAAAGCTAAATCAAAATCTGTTTCAATTATTAGTTACTTTACTAATTTCAGTTAAAGTGAAACAGATGTGAAAGCTAATGTCTTTATGAACAGTTAAATAGTATCTGTGTTCAGTATTTCCTTGAATCAGGCGGTTTTTCTCCTCTTGTCATTCATTTTCTTTAAGTTTTAAAAAATTGACTTTGTTTTTGCACTTATGTCATCTTTGATAATTGACAGAAATGTTGTCAGGACGCTATCTTTAACCATAATTAATGGTGGGGAGCTTAATGGTTTTTTTTTTTTTCTTTCTTACTGTTCTACTCTGTGCTTTTAAAAAGTATTAGCCAATAGTAAATCTGTATGTTTAAAATCTGTTGTAAATATATATAATATAAACCCATGCATATGTCATTGTCCACTGGCCAGATAATGTAGATTCATAATGTAGATTCTGACAAATTTACCCACCAGTCATTTGTACTTCCCCTCCCATTGGTCTGTTTCTTTAGAATTAGACAGTTAGACAGATATGTGGAATCTTGCCAATGCAGCAAAGTGGACGAGGATGTGAATACTGCAAAAATAGACACTGCAGTCACAAACCCTTTTTCGGAGTCATAGGCAGCACGGTCACTTAACATTTCTTAGTTCCACTGCATCCAGTCATAGTAAAAACAAAATACCCAGTTTGACATGCTCCTCTAAAGTCTGAACATAAGGCAGACACCACTCTCTGTAATTTTGATTTCAATCCCAAAGCTAAATCCACTGCCGATTGCGCTATTCATATCCCTGTGCTTCATGTGTATGCAGCTTTGTTGGACCTGCCAGTGCAGCCCAGTGCGACAGAGGTTTTGGGTTTTGGTCAGACAGCCCATGCTTCACCCAGCGGCCTGCCTTTCAGATTCTACGAGCAGTCAAGACGGGCCCCCAACGACCCCACGGCAAATAGATCAGTCTTTGCCTCGGTGGATAAAGTACCAGGTAACATACAGTTCATCAGAGTCCACTGCCTGTTCACGCTGCTTTAGTCTACCTACTCCTTCAGAGATCTACAAGCTCATCTCTTTTATACTTTTTTCTTGTCTTTAAATCTAGACATAGTTGTCATTACAGAAACACCTACCCTCCTGATATGAATATCGTAACACAGTGGCAGTAAAGTCAGAGCCCTAGTTTACACACACTGGACACTTTATGAGACATATTATAGTAATCAGTTATAGAACATGAAGTACTTGTAACTGTATTAAGACTTTTCTTTTTGAGTCTTAGAGGAAACTTTTTGAAAAAGTTGTTCTTATCTTCAAACCAACTTGTGATAGAGTCTGAGTGGTGGAAATGGGTTTGTGATTTGATCTCTAGAGTAGAAGTGTAACAGTAAGTCAGTCATGTTTCTACCAGGATAATTAGATTAGAGGTTTTGTGAAGAAACACAGCTCCTGAGGACACGGCAGAAAACTCTGCTGACCCCTGCTTTTATTTTTTTTTTTATGTATAATTCCTTTTATGTTGAATAAAATTTTGTTATAGACACACATTAGGTGAACATTCTGTTGCCCTGTCTGTCACTGGTTTGTATTACCTGCTGCAGTTCTTGCACAGAGCTCCTTGTTCGTCTCGGCAAAGAAACTGTTCCCCCAGAGATTACTTTGATATCCAGGCTTCAGCAATGTAAAAATGCTATTGAGATTTTATTGAGTCAATATTTATTGAAATTTAATTTCAGCTTAAAAAGTTTTCGCTTGTTTCCACCTAATGGGCCAGTTTCTATGGTAACTACACCTTTTCTGCTTGTTTTGGGTAAATTACAGTAACATGAGGTTATAGGTTTTAGTAGATTAAGTAAAGTGGTTTAATTAGGTTAATTCAGCAATAAATTAAAGCATAGTTTTAATTAAGTGTGCGTGTGTGTGTTTATGTACGTGTGCGCCGTCCCCAGGTTTTGCGGTGGCTCACTGTGTGTCGCAGCACAGTCCCTCACCCCTCTCCTCCCCCTCGCCTCCCTCCAGCGGGAGTGGAAGCACAGGAAGGTGTGACTCTGTTACTGCAAGCACTATATCAGCTCAGAGCCCCACAGGTAGCACACACACGCACACACACTACATCTACCTACATACAGAAACAACGGAGCACATTTGGTTCATAATACACAGATTCTGGATTGTAATGTAAATCAGTAATCTGGGGAAAGTAAAATGTCAAGGGCATAAACAGACTACCAATATTTCCATCACCGGTGTGATGTCTGCACTGTACCATACACACCTACCTGCTTATGTGGATTATGAGGATTGGGTGCTACCAGGGTACAACTACATATATACACACACCACAAAAACCACAGTGTCTTGCAGTGGTGTCAGATGAGTATGTAAGAAGTAGCCCAGGGCACATGTAGTATGTACCCTGTGCTCCTTCCATGACTGGGTCTTATAGGGGTCTAGGTGTGTTGTTTCTTGGTGTCATTGAACCCCTCGGACCTGTTAAACAGGCTCTAGAGGAACACCATGTCTCTATAGATCTTGCTATACATTGTATGGGATGTATGGACAGCAAGCTTTGTTTGGAGCAGTCAGTTACCTGAGTAGGTATAAGCTACCCCAAGAGGAATGAGAATTTAGGAAGGTTGAGTACTGGATCTGATTGTTTTGATAAAAATGTAATGGGTTTCCTGTAGTTTCAGGTGTTAAACCATGTCTTTGTCTTTTTTTACATAATTACACAAATATATGATTGAATCCTGTACATCAATCAATAGAAATGTTGTGTCTCTGTTTTTCAGTCCTGTGTATATGTGTACAGACAGTGAGCGTTTCACACAATTGCTCATATCTGAATGGTTTCATAACTGCAGCGTGTACTCCACCATCAATAACTGCTCATCACACACATTTAATGTAATTTAATCTTGTTTATATTTATTTCCACATAGAGGAGAGTCGCATCTTTTCAAATCTTGTCGGTCACATGAGTAAAATGGTCTGGATTGTTTTATGCACTTCCTTCAGTTTATACCTCATTAGCATCAAAATGCATTAAACTGCGTGAGTGTGCTGTGTTACAGACCTCCAGAAAACAGGACAGGGTTTTGTTGTAATGATTGTTTTGAAACACTTTTTGTACATCTTTCATCTTTCATACTGCACCCTTTCAATCTTACAATGTAAGTATGATTACATAGTAGTTTAAATAGTATTGCATAGTTTATGTTGTAGTTCTCCCTGCACTGTTAGATGGTTAGTACTGCTTCTACTTATGTCTCATTCTCGTGTACTGTGTTCATCCTCTGCCTCCTCTTTTCTTCTTCTTTTCGGCACCGATGACACATTTGAAACGAGCTGAGCCTTGTTAGAAGGAAACTGTTTATTCTTTACATTATAATCAATGAAAGCAGAAGGAGGTATGTCGTGAATACAAAGCACTGTGTTACTCATTTGTCTGCATGTGCCTGTCTAAACACGTCTATGGAGCCTTTTACCTTCAAAGATTCTTGTAGTAACTACATAAACCTTTCCTGACATGAAATTCTCTGCTGAATTTTGGGAATATTGTGGGATTTCCCTGCCCTGGAATATTGAAGAATATATATATTTTTTTACTTGTTTCACTTTTTTTTTCCAGTAGTATTAGATAATTGGCCACATTTAATCAGTTTTTCCTCACAGCAAATTTAATAGGAAACCATACTTTATCCCTTTTTAGATGTTCTCTGTGTATGAGCATCCCTCATTTTGTCCTCTCCTCTCCACTAGATGATGGTACATTTTTGGAGCACACCCCGCCCTCTTCCTCGGGTGGAGAAGGGGAAGGAGGAGGTGGAGAAGTAACGCTGGTCTCCTCTACTCCTTCGACCCCAGTCCCAGCTCCGGCACTGGCCCCGAGCCTCACCCCTGCCTCCCAGCCCACCATCTCCCTCCTCACGGACAACAACGCCGACACCCTTACCGTGGAGTCTCTCACACTGCTACCTCCTGCTGACTCACCACACCTGCACCCATGCGCCAGCCACATTCCCACCACGCGCCCCCTCCAGAGACCAGACGCCTCAATCGCAGAGGAAGATGAGGAAGAGAAAGAGGGGGATAGCAAAGCAGAGCAAAGAGAAGAGGAGGAGCTGCAAGAGGAGGAGGGGTCGCCGATGGATGAGACGGAGACGGATGTGACAGTAAAAGAGGAAACCACCACGACGGAGTTGATCACACCCACTGACGAGGCCCTGGAGGAAGCAGAGGGAGGAGACGAGCCAGAAGGTGAGGACACACCTCTACAGGTGGATAGAGACCTGCTCTCTGCTGCAGAGCTGCAAGAAAGAGACGACTCTGTAGAGAATACAGAAGACGCAGAAACACACACTGAAACACCTGACTCGCCTGAACTGGATTAAGCAACACGCACACACACACACACACATTCATGTTCATGCACTTAAATTAGTCTTTAACACACACAGAGGACAGTGAAGAGTGATAGTTAAACTATCCAGCTTGGCTGCAGTATATTTTCATGTTGCAACCTGTAGGTTAGTGTGTGATGTGGATAGTCCAAGAGGCTTTTGGAGGCATCTCAATATTTGTGTTTGCACATGAAGAAAGACTCTTCTCACGTACAGAGAGGACGAGAGGACGAGACAGACAGACACTGGTCGAACTCAAGGAAGGCTCAAAGCACATTTGGGTTTTTGTGCACTCGAGTGTGTCTGGTCATGTGTATGCAAGTGTTTTTAGCACGTGTGTGTCAATGCGCACAACCAGCAATGTTTTTTACTCATTCTGATCGATTGTTTTTCAGCTCACACACGCACACCTACACACACACATACACCACCCATCTGTTGTGAGCTGTGACTTCTGAGCTGTTTATTCACTCTGTCCTAAAGACCTGTCCTATTTTTGTGTCTTATGTTCACATAACAGTTCACAGCTAATGTTTTGCGGTGGTGGTCGCTACTATGCTAACACACACACACACACACTGTACATACAGTACACACCGAGTCAGCTGCACTAGCCTTTTAACCACTGCATGTCAGACCCATTAGCAGTTACTGCCACCTATAACTGCCACTGGGTGGGTGTGTATGTTCTGCATTTGGTTTAGTTTTCATTCCTCCACATGTAAAGTAATGATCCATTCATTTCCCATTTACTAATTGGTGTCAATTATAGAATATGTATTAAATCACCTGCAACATCTTGAGCCAGGAGGGAGCAGGTGTCAAACTGTAAACATTCATTTAATGATAACCTAGTTTTTTGTGGTCATCTTGTACCCTGCTGGTAAACATTTGGAGGATTTCATGTGGGAATGCAACATGAGGTGTGTGAAAGCTGCCTTTTAATCTTGATCACAACCAGCGCGCAGCTGGAATGACAGTTTAGGAAAGTTTTCAGATATGCAACAGAAATCAATTAACTTTTTGCTTTTACTTCAGCTTCCATTACAGATCAGTCCCTGGTTTCAAAAATCCCAAACATTATGCAATAACTTGTGTGTGGATTAGATAATATGCGTTCATTCACAGAAGTAATTCACCTTTCAGCTGCCTGACTGGCAGAATAAATGGTCTGAAAGATCTTAATGGAGCAGAGGCTGCTAAGTAAGTGGTACAGTAGTGATGCATAAAGCAGAGCATTCACTGAGTAGTAGTAAGTTTATCTTGAGTCAGTCCATGCATTGATCCGTTCATTCATTCATTTTAGCAATTCAGCCTGTGTCAACATTGCTGTACTCAAATATAACACGCTGTTTTACTGGTTTGAGAATGAAGGTATTTCAGATTGTTTGATATATTTAGAAAAATAGGTAAAAAAGATAATTTGCTTGGTTAAATGAAACTCTGAAGGCCTCATAGTGATGAGTGGTGATACAGTGTAATAGCCATCTGTGATGTTAGACTTATCAACTTTAAAGAGTCATGAGAAACCATTTGAAATAACATGCGTGTCTTGGAGTCTGCACATCACCACAACAACACTGGGCTGAATGTATCTGCTAGTTGCCCCTCAGGTGCTGACCTGAGCTCAGTTTTATTCTCTATATACCTGGGGATGGGTTTAAGAAGATAAATGCTTTCAACACCACAGTGACTGTTAGGAGCGTCCACTCTGAAATTTGATAAATTGTCACTTGTCAAAACAAGTTATTGTTTTTTTTCCATCCAGCTGCTGGTGACCCACAAAGTATCTCCAGGAAAGAAAAATAGGAGGATAATGTGGTTAATACCCCCCCAAATAACCTCAACACAAGAAGTTTGGATCATATTTTATCCCAAAGTGGGCTATTAGTAAAACCTGGAATTATTGAAGTCATAATCCATATAAAACAACAACAACACTCTTGGAAAAACCAACATTAGGATTAATTTAGGGTTTTTGGAAACCAGATGCTGCCCTGAGGTCCGCCTCCGGAGGCAAACCCCCTCCTCTCCCGCCTCCTTTAAACAGCTGAATAAAGTTTTTACGGCTGCAATAATCTTAAGAGCTTACCAATGAGGGGAGAGATGAATGTAACAAACGAGTTATCTCTCCAAACAGCTGTGTTGTTTGATCAGTTTGGGAAAATGAGATCAGTGTATTTTAACCTTGACTTGGTTTGTAACACTTAGGAACAAAGCACACACAAACGTATTTTCTCCCTGTGTCCTAATCTTTATTTTTTACTGCTTTTATTCTTGCTGCTTTTCCTTTCTCCTTTGCTTACTCTCTTCTTTTCTGTGCCATCGTCATATAGCTGAAGTCTTAATGCTCGGTCATTCTTTTTTTTTAACTGTACAGTCATCAACAAGTTTATAAATGAAAAATTCAGAGCAATACTCTTTTTTTGAGTCAGTCTCTTAGTATTCCCATCTTGCTGCTGGAAAGAGCAGGAGAATGATAGTGATAATCACTGACATGCTGAAGGGGCTTGGCACAATTTGTAGAGCTGATACTGATGGTTTAGAGGAGCATGCCGCCATGTTGAAAGACAATATGTCGACGTGTTCCTAATAACCATGACAACCTCTACCAAAACATGCCATCACAAGCTTCCATTATTAAGTCTCTGATTGTAGTGTGTGTGTATGTAATATGTTTGTATGCTCTGTAAATGCTTTTGGCTTTTAAAACCTGTAATTATTGTTAATGAACTAAAACAGAGGAATAAATAAAGAACTGCAATAAATTATTCTACTTAACAACGGTGAGACTGCTGCATGAGCTTTGTTCTTGTGTTTGCAGACTGAAGAGTTTTTTGGCGTTTTTTTTCTCGTGATTTTTTTTCTTATTATTTTCTCCTCTCTTCACAGAATCGCGCTCTCATAGTATGAGCAGAAGATGTTCTCCTTAGTGTTTAAGCAAGAAAACCACAGGAAATATTAGAAAAGAACTGCCAGGCCCGGGAGCGCACACAACCCCTTATTTACTTCAGTAGTGAGTGTGTGCAGGCTTCCACTGATTGTGTTTCATGATCACAGTTACACAATTTTAGGGGTAACTGAATACACAGAAGATTTCGTAGAAGATCTGTAAGGGCTGATAGTGCTTGATGCAATTTTATTAAAAATAGAAATGGGCTCGAAATGCTCTCATTTCTATATAATCTTTCAAATTTCTATGGTCCTAGAAAAGCTTGGAGTTGAAAACAGAATCACAGGTTAGAAAAAGCTATAAACCCCTGATCTACAGTGAGGATGCCTCAGGTGAACAAACACCCACATGGTGACCTTCAAACTGCAGCATAAAAGATTTCTGTGAACGAGAATGTGTTACTTCCTGCACTGCAGCTCTACAAACAGGTGAAAACCTGAGTTTGAAAGCATTTCTGCAGTGTAAAAATGATGCCCGTATTTTGCTTCGGGCCTAAATTTGCAATTGTGTGTGTCAGACAGACCGAAGGCTAAGATCATGACGCTGCCTTTACACTTTCTACCTTTGTGTTGTGTTCCTGTGGCTGCTGCAGGAGCCCTCTGTCATCTTGTGGTCTGTACGTGTTTCTTTTATCGCGGTTCCTCTCTTCAGGGAAGTCTGGTTGTGTGTGCGTAAACATGTGAATGGGTTCCTGGTACTGCAACGACACCGAAATAGTTATTGTGTGTGTGTGTCGTTTTTTTTTTTTTTTTCTGTGCCAAACCACAGTCACAGCATCAAATTGAAGTTTTGTCGGTACAGATCTTAGATGGATTTGAAGATTTCTCTCTGCAGTCACAAGGCATGTCACAATCACTGATGAAGATTTTAAAACTAAATGGCACTCATTTACAGTTTTAAATGTTAGGTTAATAACATATACTGTGGTTTTCTTAGAGATAAAGATTCCTTGTGTATTTTGTAACCTGCAGTGTTTACATCCATGTTTACATTGGCTAGACATCTTCCTATTTACATTTGCAGGTACATTGTTACATTTTTTGTTGCATAGACTCCACCACCTGTATGAAACCATTGCGTATCGCTTCACTTGAATGCTTGTGCATGTACATGTGCATCCGGGTCCATGTGATAGCAGAGATTCAAACAAAGCAAAACCAGGCTCACAGATCAAAACATTTGCTCCATACTGCCACTATTGGCTAAAAGCTCCACAGGCTACCTTTATTGTCTCCTGGAATTTGTTAACGGGACCTTACATATTAAAAAATGTTACACTTTTTTGCAGAGTTAAATAAGAAGATTAGTAACCTAAACATTAAATGTGAGGGTAAGTTTAGCATAGCTTGGCACAAAGACCAAAACAGGGGAAATGACTAGCTTGAGTGAGTCAAGGCTAAGCTTCCTGGCTTTGTATAGGCCTACCAGCTCCTCTAAAGCTTAGTAATATTGACAATGATGTTAATTTGTCTTGTACAGAGGTTTTTTTTCTTGGCTGGGAGCAGTTGCCGAGCAGCCAGCGGATAATTTATTGATTGCAACCAAGTAATAGTCCAGCACACAGCTATCCATAAAACACCAAATTGTTGTTGTAAATTAGGTAAAATTTAAAATAATGGTGAAGAAATAGAGGTGCTGGTAGGCAGATTTTGTTGCCATTTGACAGAGCTAGGCTAGTTGCCCCCCCCCCCCCCCCCACACACACCTACAATACCCACGACACACACACACACACACACACACACACCTCCTGTTATATAAGCATATATGTTATATATATTTAACAGACAGATATTGGAGTGGTATCAACCTAACTCTCTACAGGAAAGCACATAAACATAGTTTCCAAAATGTCAAACTATTCCTTAAAAAAAATGAATTGTTCTACAGTGTGTGGGATATCGCTGATGTCAGAAAGTTTTAAAATGGTAGTTGGGGAATTCTTTGAGCCATGATCTAGTAGCTATTAGAGAAACTGGCCGAAACCAGAAATAAGCTTTTCCCACATCACTGTGTTGTCTGCAAAAAAAAGGGACTTTGACTTGCTCTCTGCTGAAGGAGAAACATTGTGTGATGTTGTTACATAAATATCTTGAAAATACTTTGTCTTGTGGCTGTTTGGTGAAGAGACACACCCATTGTGGCAAGTCTGTTTCAAAACCCATTCTTCTTATGTGATGACCATTTCCACATGATTTCCTGCAAGTATGCCATCATAAAACGGTAAATTCTGATAAACCCTCTGGCAAAAATTGGTGGGAAATCAAATCTGATGAAGAAGTTTGGAAAAAGAAAAAAAAAAGGTGACTAATTATGGGATTCAGGAAAGTACGCTCCTACATCACATCTCAATAACAATTGGTTTACAAAAAACTCATGAACCAGTGTTTGATCACAGGAAAGTCTTGATCAAGAACCCTAACAACACCAGCAACCAGTTAGGCTGCCAGATTCGCTAATAGTCTGAGGAAAAGCTAATATCCCCCACCACAGGAGTAATCAAGTGACATACTGCTGTTAGGACCTATTTCATCTGAATTCACTGAATAAGAGTAAAACAAGATCACAATGCCAAAAGCAGCATCCTCTTCACATCAAATCTCATCCTTTCTCACTGTGTCCTGAGACTTTTTATCTTTCTCTTGAGGAGTCATTCATTTCTTACATAGAAGTGTGTGTGTGTGTTTGTGTGTTTGTGTGTTTGTGTGTTTGTGTGTTTGTGTGTGTGTTTAAAGGACAGAAAACTCCAAATGGAGGATTCCACAGAAATCAGCTGATAAGCACACACAGTCACAAAAGACCTCACTTCACCTTTCACTTCTCAAAATAGTCTGGAATGTCCTAAAAACTGAGAAGCTGTGAATGAAACTAGCGTATGATTCAGCCCGACAAGAACTCAATTTCTAGGTAAAGCTTCAAAAAGTAAGGATTGATAACACCTATAAAAATGAAGATATTACAATCATAGTGTTTATATCACTGACTCATGTTCCACTGTGGTGTATCTTTGTGTGTGTGTTCCACCCCTGCTCAACCTCTTCCTCAAGCTGAGATCATTATATCCTCAAACTAGTCAGGCTTTACTTGAATCAAGCTCAGGGTATTATATTCAGTATGACTCAGCTCTGTGTGTGCGTGTGTGTGTGTGTGTGTGTGTGTGTGTGTGTGTGTGTGTGTGTGTGTGTGTGTGTGTGGGCATATCTGTGTAGACCCAAAAGAGTTTTAAGAAAAAATCCCCAAACAACATCAGAAGGCCTAATGGTAAGGTTTGGTTTTTGCATTGGAGTTTTGGTTAGGTATGAGGAAGGGGTTGGAGGCTGGTTCAGGTTACAACCTCAGATAGAAATAATAGAGTGTACTAAATACCATCTGAAAAAGTGACACATACTCTCACAATTGTCATGAAACTGCAAAATTACACCAAATTGTGAAGCCTTCTAAAGATAGTTGGGGTCTATGCTAATCTTGTCTGTCACCATCTAGTTTACAGTTTCTGTACCTTCCATAATACGTGTTGTAATTTTTATCTTTGCTTTTTTATTAGCATTTTAATTTTTACTAATACAAACGTGGGGATAAGTTTGCTGGAAAAGGAACAGTTTGACAAATTAGGAAATTAACATGTTCACTTACTTGCCAAGAGTTAGATGGAATGATTGATAGCACTCTCATGTCTGTGTGCTAAAGTTAAATATAAGGTTGAAGCTAGCAGCCAGTTAGCTTAGTTTATAATAAAGACTGGAAACGGGGAGACAGCTGGCCTGGCTCTGTCTGTACACAATTCACCTACCAAGAACTCTAACGCTCACAAATGTCCTTTATTTGATTGGTACAAAAAGGAAAGTGTAGTTACTGTGTCTGGTCAAGAAATAACATTAGCTAACTTTAGTCTGCGCTGGACTTTAGCTAAGCTTGGCGTAGCTTAAGCATAACATTCATAAAACCACAAGTGTTACTTTTATGCTCCAGTTTTTGTAAGGATTAAAGAAACTTTAACACTAGTGTTATTTTTGACAAGATGCTGGGAAACCATCTAATAACACAGAAACTGAATACTCCTCATTTTAGATGAGAGGCTATGCTAAACAATGAATGCTACACCACTTTACATTACAGATGATAATTAACTGTATAATGAACAATGGCAGGCTTTTAAATCTCTTCTTCATCTGCTGCCTCACTTTTTATAGATTTGCTTTTATGTGCAGTAAATGTTTCATTTTGTTCTTGAAAAATTCTTTATTCCTTTGACCTGCTTTTTTGTATTACTTTTTTCCACTCTGCCAGTTTTAGTTTTAGTTTCTACAGACATAAAGTTTATTATTCATAAATCAAGAATTAAATGAATTGTGTGACTCTAAGCCTGACCTTGATCTAACATGTCTGTCTAACCACTAACCCAAAAAATTTCCCACTTCCTCTTTAGGAAATTTTAATCTGTGCTGGGTCCTCATTAAGATAAAAGTACTACACACACACACATTTACACAGACACAATCACACGCTTCATTATGTGTCACCTCTGTCCCTGTTTCTGGTAAGTGTGTGTGTTTCTAAGCGTAACAGTCCATTTACAACCAAAGTAACTCCACCCACCTGTCACTTTACCCTACACAGATGAATCACTGTGGTGACGATACTGTACTCTACCAAGTCAGACTTCCTGTCTGTCTCTCTGTCTGTCTGTCCTATTGTCTGTGACTTAGTGTGAACAAGGTGTGTGTGTTTGTACCTCCCTCTCACTCCACCCCTTTAAATTCCTACCATGACACAATTTGGGGAACAGTACCACAGTTAAAAAGTGACTTAATACCAATCCAGAAAGGTCCATTTAAATACATTTTATTTCAAATATAATGGAACAAAATACAGTACAACTTCACACCAGACTGCATGACTTCAGAGTACTCAAATTTCACTAAAAGATATCAAGTGGTTTTTGAGCCATCAGTGCTGGCAAACATTCATGTGTGATGTAAACTTTCAAGAACATTAGAGTATTCAAACCTGCTACAAAAATAAATCCCATTGGAACCACCGATTGTGATGGTTTCAATCGTACCCTCCACCATGCCATAATATTTTTATAAATCCACTCTGTTGATGCTCTTATTGTCATTCCACAATCCACTTTTAAATAGTTTTGGGCCTCTGGTGGCCACAAATTGGCACCAGCAGACCCTATACTTTCCAGTATAACAGTCACAGTCGACCTCGCCAGGTCTTCTCTCTCTGGTATAGCGCCATTTTTTCTGTAGTTTTCTCTTAATGCAGCATTTTCCAACTTTTCATGCTTCCTCAAAACCAAAAGGTGCTCTGTCCATGTGCAAGTGGGAGTTGAGTCTCTAGAGGTAATGTATGTTGAAATTTTATGCATGAATCCTGTCCAACTGGAAACCACCTCTCCTTGAAACATTATGCAGAGATTAAGCTCAAAACAGGGAGCTGATTTGAGATTTAACAATGGAAATGCAGTCTTAACCTTCAGCACATGATGGACCGGCTTTACTGACCCCTCCAGTTCCCTGTTACTTGGTAAAAACTGCCTTCTTGAAATCAAAAACAATACTGTCAGAAGTTTACATGGCAAGCTGGTCACAGTTTGTAAGGGAATTCCAACAGGAAGTCTTGGGCAACATGGGTAACTGGCAGCTCTGAAACCCTTCCTCTGCCACACAGCTCCATGATGCGCTTCCTGCACAGTTCCTGCAGCGTTGGCTCCCATTTCCTGTACGGGATGCTCAGGCTCTTCTTGGGAGAGTTGATGTAATGCTCCAACAGGGCGAAGAGCGTCGGGAAGGAGCGCTCGTTGCCCGCCAGTGAGAACTTTTGCCGCTTGTAGTCGATGCGCACGCTGACCGGCCCGCTCTTGGCGTGGTAGGACAGCGTGAAGAAAATGTCCTTCTGCCGGCTGTCGCGGATGAGGAAGCTGCCCAGCGGAGCGTCCCGCAGCATGCGGTGAGCGTCCTCTACACCCAGTGGTCCCCAGTAGAAGCCACTGCGCTCGAGCTTGGCTGCTGTGTCTGTGATGATCCTGCAGTCCTCCTTGCAGGAGAAGGTGGGGAAGTGGGTCAGATACACAGAGGGGACAGGCACTCGTCTCGGGATCGGCTCTGGAGCGGCCCGATGCTGAAGCTGCTCCAACTCTGCGTGGAGTGACGATGATGAGGACAGGGAAGATGATGAAGACAAGGAAGAAGATGAGGAGAACGATGAGGATGATGAGGATGATGATGATGAGGAGGAGGAAGATGATGACGACGATGAGCTTGACAAGCAGTTCTTGTCATTGCCTTCCACTGTGCTGTCGGCTACCATCCTACAGGGGAGAGAGGCCCCAAACCCTCTCCCATCTCTAACCACCACACTGTCATCCTGAGAGAGACAAAGAAGAAGAACGGTTATTACCTTAAATACCATCATCTATTACTATTAAAACAAGTGGCATCACTTTCACAGCAGCTTGAACAAAGTAAATAGTTACAGTTAAGAAACTCTTTATGGTCTGAAAAATGAAAGTGGAAGTTACACAACTTTAAGAATCAAGTCTCAGAAATGGACCATGTAAGGCCCTGTAGCTCTAAAATTAGAAAGACTTCCATGTGTGTGTGTGTGTGTATGTGTGTGTGTGTATAATTCAGAGGATGTCTGTGAGTGTAGGTTAGAAATTCATTCTAGTTTCCATTGAGCGGTACTTTGTTTGATATGACTGGAATCTGCGGTTTGGCTGGAATTCAGCTGATGTCAGCGGCAGCCAAATTACTGTAGACTGTCTGCAGACACACACACTCACACAATAAAGTTTACTGTGCCTCAAAGGCGTATGACATCTTTCATAATGACTGAAACATTAGGTTGTAATCAAACTTATAAATCCTATATTCTTCTCTATGATTAATACTAAACTGATATGACCTCTGGAGCCTTGACTGAGTCTGATCCATTGGATGTGGTAATTTATCTTTTCCCTGCGTAGTTCAATGTGAATTACCTCACATTTGTTCTAGGAGTTGATCAGAAATGCTTTAAATTCGAGGAAAAGTCGTGATCCCCCCCCCCAAAAAGTAATGATTAACAGGTGATGATGTGGGTTGTACTTTTTTTTTATCTTAATTTCCAGGCATCACAATCACATGTCAAGGAGATGGATGAAATTCAAAATATAAACATATTTGTGATAAATAAACTATAGAGCCCGTTTTCACGTGTTGGCTCATTAAGTTTCACTGTTATCCAGCCCAAGCTGCTGTTCGCGCATCAGCTGGACACCACCTAACATAATCCATTTTTGGTGCAAAAACACACTCCATGCACTCACAGACTCAGATTACACAACAGATCAACTATTTATCCTACAACCTATTTTTCAACTGCACAGGGCGCAGGAAAAACAACAGCCATTTTTCACTTGAAACGCCAAACTGCACAGCATGAATCAACAGACTGAATTGTCTTACCGTTTTGTTCTAACGACAGCGGCGTTTTAAAGATCCGTTTCACTGTAATCCCAAAAGGCGACCTCTGCGCTGAGACCAGTAAATATCCTGCAGGTAATCCGTGACGCAGCGCGGGGTACACTGGGGGGGAGGGGGCTGAATTTGACAGCTCGGAGGTAACTTTTTGACCTGCTGGCTGTATTTCCCACCCGTCAAATCATACTCTTGCGTGTGTGTAGTTTGGTAAACACTGCTCGAGGATTTATAGAGCTATTTGCTGGCCCCGCCTCTGAGCGGTGGCCGGGCAGTTTCTCCTAAACAGAATCGAAAGTGAAACTTAGCTGAGAGCTCTGACACACGGCCCCTTTGCTTTCTCACTTCTTTTGAACTCTGTTATTATTTGGAGAATTTCAAGAAAACCGCAAAGCCACATGACTATAGGACTTTTACGGAAATACAGGTGGCGGATTCGAGTAATGACACCATTTATTCGGTATTCTTCTTATGCGTGTTTTTAGTGGTATTTTTATTCATGTATTTATATATTTGTTCATTCATTCTTTACGTTTGTCTCGTACGTAAATTCAGTTCAGTTAAACATCAGTCATTCCAAAAGAGCACAGGATGCGCTCAGTTTATGGTGTGGGATGACCTTGCCAGAAAATATGTTTAGTTTATGTCAAGTGACATATCAAGTTAAATGTCTTCCACGTCTAGTTCTGACCGTAGTCTCTCTTAGCGCAGATTTGCATGCAGATAAAGTTCCTGATAAAAATCCGCCTCACCACATTTCTTAACCTTTGCTCAACCAGGCAAGTCCCACTTAGATAATGATCTTTATTCCATCAAAGATGAATATGGCCAAACAGTTACACAGTAGTTGCTGTCGGGTATAGCATTCATGCACAGTATCAAACTGCATAAGATGGAAATTTTAAATCTGTCTATTTACAGTAAATATAGAAAAGCAGTAGTGAGCACATTAGAGTGAAATCAGTCCAGTGCTTCTGCTGCACTTCTTCATTTGTTGTTAATAGTCCGCTCTTCTGCAGAAAAAAGCTTTTCACGGGGCCTCCACAGTTGAGGTGATTCATCTCAGATATGTTCATATTGTGACTTCCTCACCAGTCATTTCACTATTTTGGTTTTCAACACTTTATTCCATCGCAGTCACATTGGGCAATTTCCGCTGTGAATCCCATTCTTATGATATAGTATGAAATATTAATGGCATTCAGATGACTAGTGTATTTCATATTCCTCTTTAGCTGTGGTTATATGGTGATTATTACATGACTTTTCTTCACTATTCAATGCTTAGACTCAGGTGTGTTGTATCAGAGTAAGTGATCATTTCACAACTCAAATCACCCTGCAAATATAAACTGCTATGCTATTCTGGTGATTTATAATTATACCATATACTATAATTATAATTATTATAAGTCCAACCAGTTGTGACAGCAGACAAACAAAGCACACTCAACTCATGTTGGAAATTTTTCAAATATCACTTCAGCTTCAGTCTCATTTTAGTAGTATATGTGAAACAGAGTTGAGTTGAGTTGTGATGCAAAACACATTTCAGAGAAATTTGGCAATACAGTTTAATGTAATTTAATTTAATTGAGTTCAAGATTGAACAGAAATCTATTCAGGCTTGTTGTGCTTGCAGCATTTGGTTACCTCACAGTGTTACTGCACCTTGTTTCAGCAGATGGTCATAAATGTTTCATGCATTTGGCACATAGCTGTGCAATAAGTGTTGTGATACACAATGAGGCCATTGTTAGGCCATCCTAAATATATCTGCACAGGTTAACTGCCCTAAAAGTATGGACGCTCTTCATCTACTACAGTGTCATGTTAGCATTTTAAGCTTCTCAAGCACAGCTTTACAAGATGAAGAGAAATGAAAGTTATCAACAGCTGCTGGCAAATGTGGGCATCAAAGTTCAAGTATAAATAAAGCATCACAGATTTAGAAATCTTAGGTATACTGTTGCATTAAACCCCTGGTTGTCATGCTGCCTGGTTACAAAAGAGCAAGTCAGAGTAACTGAAAGTTAAGGAAAGACTCTCGGTCAGCTGGCAGTGCTTAAAGAGGCGGAGGCAGACAGACAGCAACACCAGGTGATAGCTAGTATGAGAAAAGCTGTGTGAGGCCATAAAGTCTGTCATGGTTAGTTTCATTTTATCAGTATTAGGCCTACTCAACTAGTACTCAGAATTGCCTCCTAGTTCCATTATGTGTATCTGATAGTGCTAATTATGCCCACTTGAACTTTGAATCAGTCATGTCACACTCACAATCTTCTTCTTCAGGTGATTGTTCAGATGTTTTTCCCTCCTCCCTCATGAAGCCCCATCAGAAACAGGTTTTGTCATGATCTGTCACTATGCGGGTAAGGCTGGACCCAAAATGCAGCCAACACAGGGGGATGGGGTGCAAAAAGGTTTATTAACTTAAAGAGCTTACAACACAGGTGAAGCACAGGGAAACACAAGAAACTTAAACAACAGACCAAAACACAGGGAATGACAACAGGAGACAAGAACTGGCAACATGAACGGACTGAGGACAAACCAGACATGAACCGCTTGAGGACCCATCCAGACATGAAAAGATCGCGGAAGAACCATAGACGAACAGATCGAGGAAAACCCAGAAATCAACAGACAAACCGACACAGACAAAGGGGAGCACAAAGACTATATAGACAAGGGAGGCAAGGGTGATTGAACACAGGTGAAACACATTAGAGCGGGTCAGACAATCACCACACAGAAATAGGACCAAGACAGGAAGTAAAAACATTGAGACACAGAAGGAAACCAATTACAAAATAAAACAGGAAGTGACAAAAGTCCAAACAAACTAACAAAAAGTGTCTGCCATGGCAAACCATGACAGATTTACAGCCCATCAATTCTGTGTTCTCTCCCACAGCTTTAAAACATGGGTGTGGGTGTTTTTATTGTATGCATGTGTTTTCAGGATTCTTTATGATAACTGATCATTGTCAATCATTACTTGATGTATGTCCTTAAGTGATAACATATAGAAATATGCAGGGACCCAGGCTGAAGGAGAGTTGAAGGTGTCTTTTAATGTTCTAAACTATCAACATGTGTTTTAATTTTTGCTGTCAGTTACTTTTAGGAGCAGGTCTCATGTCTCTTTGTGGAATAACTTTGTTGCTGTTTCCTATTTTTATCATGATTTCCTTTTGACTTGGCATCATCTATAATATATGAGACGCATTTCAAGGCTTCATTTCTGTTCACACTTTCATCAGAGTGTTTTTTGTGGGTGGCTTTGAAATGTAATCTAAGCTATTTTTTTTCTTAAACTGGGGTTGTTGAGTATTATGTTTACAATGGAAGGAGGGAGACAGACAGACAGGCAGAAAGACAGAAGGAGGTTGGACAGTGTTCACTGCTCTGATTGGCTCAGCTCTATGCAACTACGTTAGTAATACACTAATTGTAAAACTGGATGCCTGCCACTGCTGTCTCTGCTTGTGTTGTATTTACTTCTGGCATTTCCTACATGCACTGCAGATACTGTATATTCTAAATCACTATCATCTCATACTGTGCAATGTAGTTTGAAAGTGTGAACCCGCAGTATGTGGATGTGGCTCTTGCGTGCATATTATTATCCACATGGTGTTTATTTACACATGCGCATGCTCCATGAGTTTCATTTCTGTGAAACAAGGAGAGAAGCAAGAGACTGAAACGTAGATAGCTGAACAGAGTGCCTGTTGTGTCTCATTGCAGACCCTTGCAGACAGTCGAGAATGTGTGTGCATGTGCGAATGCAGTGGTTCATTTGCCAAACACGACACAAAATATGTTCAACACATGCAGCTACATAAAAAAATATATATACATAAATATGCATTCAGACGCAGTTCATTTTAATTTATTAAAAGACGTTGATGTTGCTGTAGTCACATGGAACTCTGGTAACTACTGCTTATTGTTTTTTTCTTTGTTTTTTTGCACTAGAGTGTGCAGTGTTGCATGGTTCATCAATGGATGACAGATGGATGAAAAATGTAGCAGGGAAAATCCATTTTTGTTGTTTGTAGTCCTGCAGGAGCCCTTTGTAGTAAACCAGATGAGCTTTGTTGGAGTCTGTCGTTGTTATGTTGCATGCTAAGTACTGTAGAACATCCTGAGACATGACTGTTGATTATTATCATTAATATTGGTAAATGAAACCACATGAACATGCCACAGCAGATGAAGTTTCTGCAGGAGCAAGCCAATGCTTTGATGCTATTATTTTTAACCATTAACTAATGGGATCTTCAGAACTATTTGTATCTACTACATTCTTACACACACACACACACACACACACACACACACACACACACACACAAATACAGGTTCTACATGCATATGTATTGGAAATACAAGGATGTGTGGCTTTTGTGACGTGTCTGCTACTCTAGCTGATTCCCCCCACTATGATACCTCCTCATTAAACTCAACACGTTTCAATAGACGTATTCTGCTAGTGGGCATCACTGCTGCCATAAAGATACTGGTTTTACACTGGAAACCTCCACATGCGGTTACGAAAGCTCACTGGATTGACACATATATTTTTCATTGTATCAGTTGGTATGGAGCTATCAGTTACGAGAGTGCACAGTGGTACTGACTGGTACTATTTAAACATGGAAAACAATGACAGGCAGAATCAAGGAGTTGCTGTAATCACTATAAGTTAGTTATTGCTATATTTTGGTTCCTTGTGTCCTGCAAATATAATTATATAGAGATCTATGGGAAATGGGATGATGTGGGGGGGTCACCAGTAAGTTTCATTTTCTTTTGTTGGTGTTCTTTTGTGTATGATGTATGTATCTGGAAAAAAGATCAGATAGTGTTTCATACACCTTGAAACAGTACAGATAGATTTTAGATAATGAACAGGGCGTGCGTGTCTGTGGGTGTGTCCCCTCGTGTAGATCTGGTAAATTTCAACTTTTGCATCCTGGAGGAATTTGGTTACTTTGGCTCACTATCTAACCACACCCGTCTACAAAGAGATTCCTGCACTCTGAAGAACGGGAACTTCATGTTCTTGTAAACTTATTTGTTTTTATGTTGTATAGCTTAACCTTTGCACAGTTACAAGCAGTGACAAAGAAAGTCACTGATGGGAAAAGAATGTGTGTGTGTTGATTTCTGCCAGTGTTTAGTGTTTCTT